AGGGACTTTTTTCGCTCCTCGCGGGGCGGTGGGCCTGGTGCTGAGAACCGGCGTAGCTCATCGCACGCACCCGCCGCGCCCTCTTCTCCCCCGGGGGCGGCTGTGCCTTGACCCAGATCGCTGGCTGCTACCGGGGCTCCCTGCAGGGATCTGGTGGCCCTCGCTGCACAGAGGAGCTCCTGAGAGGATCTCCTGGCTGGCACTTGAGACAGCTCGTAGCATGTCACGGTTCCCTCAGCTGCTCTTGAGGCCAGATGCAGCTCATAGCATGTCACGGTTCCCTCAGAGCCACATTGCTGAGGCCAGATGCAGCTCATAGCATGTCATGGTTCCCTCAGAGCCCTGTTGCTGAGGCCAGATGCAGCTCATAGCATGTCATGGTTCCTTCAGAGCCACATTGCTGAGGCCAGATGCAGCTCATAGCATGTCACGGTTCCCTCAGAGCCCTGTTGCTGAGGCCAGATGCAGCTCATAGCATGTCACGGTTCCCTCAGCCACATTGCTGAGGCCAGATGCAGCTCATAGCATGTCACGGTTCCCTCAGAGCCCTGTTGCTGAGGCCAGACGCAGCTCATGGCGCACACCATCTGTTGCTGAACCCAGACTTTACCTTAAACTTGTTCTGCAGCCCAAAATAATGTATCGCACCCTCCCCGCTCCAGGGCGAGCTCCCCTCCCGTGGCCTAGTGCATCTTCCATCAGCTCGACCGGGTTACAGAAATACCAGGGGGTCGATAAACATCTCTGTGTGTGCCAGGGCAGGCAGCTCTCTGCCATGTCTGCTGAGCACTGACACACTTCGTTGCAGGCGTGAGGAACATAAACCCTCGGCAAGTGCACGAGGGGAATATGGCCCCGTGGCAAGCATGGACGTGGTGGGAACACGGAGAGACATCGGCGAGGGCAGCAGGAGTTTCACCTGGCATTTTGGGTGGCAAAAGAGATGTGGAAAGGGGGCTGCGACTGTTCCAGGCTGTTTTTTTCCTCTGGCATCCGCTGCTTTTATTTTACAGATGTGTTTCTTAAGTAGCTCCGTAGGTGTTTGTTACCTACAGCGCAGGAATGGGTTTTAAATCCCAGCAAACAGCAACAAGGGCCTGCTCGGAGCTGCGTGGCTGCCAGCACGGGACAGCGACGCAGAGGAACGTCTCCAGACCTTGTGTTTGACTTGGTGTACCAAAGAGAGACAGTCTTTGGTAACATCGAACCCCAAACCCTTCAGGGCTGTGTGAGCTGTAGCCGTTGCCCGTAAATGCCGTGCACCAGAGTGCAATGAGAGCCACGTTGTTCCCATCTGATGCTGCCCGCCCAGGTCCAGGTGGCCTTCTCCTCGCTGCAAATCACCAAAGTCCTTCATCCTTGAGAGACCTCGCTCTTCACTGGGATCCCCATGCCGTGCTGGAATGGGCCAGGGAACTCCCCCAGCAGCACTGCCTTGAGCTCCAGCCTTGTGTCCTCCGCAGGTTAGCAAAGAAACCCGGTGCTGGAAGGAAAATCCTTGGTCAGCGTGGGAAGGCTGGAAAGAAGGGCTGCGGTGGGAAGGAGACGGAGGTCTGCTGCGGTGCGAGAGGGTGCCTCTGACCCTTGGAAATGGCCAGCGCAGTATTGCGTGGGTGTAAATCGTGGCAATATTTAGCTTTCCTTTAGAGGATCCACTTGTGCTGGGTTTTCCAGGCTGCGTGTATAAATAAGGGCCTGTGTTGTGATGATGTTTGCTAAGAGGATCTCTCCAGTTTTTTTTCAGTGGAGATTATGACCCCTTTGTAGTAAATTTAAGTCTTCTGATGACAGGTTTGATATTTTTTTTTAGTTGCGTTTTGCAGCCCCCCGGGCATCTCTGGCCCAAAGATGTAAAAGCTGCTGCTCAGGAGCATTGAACCTCTCCTGAACAAACTCCTGGGGTAGAATTAAGTTCATTCCCAGCGGCTTTGGGCGTTGTAGCCAAGTTGTTTGCTCAGTTGTGCTCTCTAGGAACCTCAGCCCCTGCTCCTGGCACAATACCCAGCGGAAACGGATGATGGGAGGTTTTTGGAAAGCCTCGAGCACGCTGTGGTGACGGCGAGAGGACGACTGTTTGAACTTTCTGCTTTCACATCAGCAACCTTTGTCCACGGTGGGACAGAATCGGCGTGGGCTGAAATAGCATTTAACCCTGCTGAAGTCAAGTCTGGTTAGCATTTCAGCGTGCGCGGGTGCTGTTTGCAGAGGGATTCTTTTTTTATCTGTGGCTGGGAGGTATTTTCGAGTGTGCCAAGGAGATCAAAACATTCCTAGATTCCTGTTTAGAAGTTTCTGTTGTTGCAGACAAGGTCACAGCGTTCAGCTCAGTGTGTCCGAGTTCATTTCATTCCGGCTTTCAAGGTATTTTGGAGGTGGGTAGCTGCGTCTCTCTTAATATCCACGTTCATGTCTTTTCCCAGGCACTCGGCTCTCGCTGGCAGCAATTTCCGTGCCATTTTAGCTGCTTCCACTTAGCGCTAAGTAATTGTGTGTTTTACAAATGGGTTGTTTTACGGCAGTCGGTTGCTGTGGTGGAAAGCCCTCTTTGGGTAATTTCTCTAGACGATATACTGATTGTTTCACTAAAGCAACAGGAGCCCCGTACCCTTGTTTTTCCCATCAGCAGGTAAAATAACCCTTCCTTCGGGTGCTTGCTTCACTGAAATTTGCTGGTCCCTCAGCACCCCCAGCAATTGGCTAATGCCTCGTTTTTCCTGAACACAATATTAATTTTGAGTGTGGTCAGCTCATGCCAATTACTTTATCCTCTAATACCTTTTTGCTCGTGTATCTTTTTGCCTCCGCTATCTTCTCTGCTCATACCCGCCTGAATTGTAAGAGACCTGTTCGTCAGCAGGATTTTCTAGTTTTTTCATTTGATGATCGAGTTGCCTTTATACCCTTATTTTAAAATTCTTTTTTCCTGCTGAGTGAAGCCGTTGGAGCTCGGCTGGGACAAGTGCCGTTGGGTGTCTGCAGCCTGCTCATCAAGTGGCTGATAGGAGTTTTAAGGCAAAGGTCCTGAAATTTGTGGTACCTGTATTTGCAGGTGGAAATTGCCATCTCATAATTTATATCTGAAATTAAACTGCGCCTACGGGCTCCATCATTACGGGTGGGTGTACTGGAACTGTTTTTTCTGGGGATGCAAAGGAGAGTTTGGAAACTTTTCCCAAAGCCTGTTTGTTTCTTAGCACACATGTTGTATCGTGGCTTAATCTCGTGGTTCCCAGAGCCAGTGTTTTAAAGAAAAATGTGCTGCTCTTGGAATTGGTGACTTCTTTCTGGAATAAGCTCAGGACTTCTTGTAGGTCCTGGTCCTGCAAGGTGCCGCTTGCACTGACTCACACGATTGAGGATTTGTAGAGCTATATCCTTCACAGAGCAGGAAAAATGCAACGGTTAAGTACAAAGGATGGGTTTGCAGTGTGTTTTCTTGTCTGCGGGTCCCACAGAAAGGGGCTGAAAGTGTGGATTGCTTCTAAGTAAGGGTGAGGTGCTGATTCAGGCCTCTGTGTAGCAACAGATAAGCTCTGGGCTGACTTATCTTCTCGGGGAGATTTTACATTTGCTTTTCTTTGTTTTCTCTCCCTCTTTCCTTGGCTTGTCTGTGCCTCAGCCCCTTTCTTCCCACAACTCATGTTCCCATCCCTGACACTGCCCTTCTCGCTTGCGTTACTCACTTGGCTTCCTCTCCACTTTCCCTCTTCGCTGCCTCCCTCCTTCACCCTCACATCCCCACGTCTCCATCCTCCCCCAGCTCATCTCGCCGGCTCCAGGCTTCTGCTCCGCTCCCCCTTGACGGGCACCTCCTTAATGTCAGGAGCCGATTCTCAAATAATTATCTGGGTTGCTGATTAGCAGTTTGCGAGGGCAGAGCTGGCTTGGGCTTGCCGTTAAGCAAATACCATTGCACGGTTCCTGGCGCGGTCTAGAAGCTGCCTTGCTGCTTTCCTACTCCTAAAGACCCTCCGTGCAGAACCAGCTGAGGCACCTGAACACGGATTGTGGCTCCAGAGGGGCTAATACTAGCCAGAGCTAGTAAGTCCGTCTGGATCCATTGCTGCTTGTTCCCTTGCTCATTCTCCTTTGCTTCCTCATGGATCCCACCGCAGAGCAGAAGGGATGCACATCTAGCACCGGCTACGGTGCTCAGTTCATCCTCTGGTTTTATTTGGGTTTTTGTGACATGTTGGGAAGGACACGGTCCGTTCGGTGCACACTGCCTGGAGAGGGGTGTAAGGAACAGCTACGTCTGCGAGAGAAGGGAAAGCAAAGCTGGAGGGTGATTTTTCATAACGGGACTTTTTGCGTCCGCAGTATGGGAAAAGAAGAATTCGTGGTGGCAGCAGCCATGGTGGGGAAACTTGGAGGAGCTCCCTCCTGGACTGAGGGAGCGCTGCTAGTTTCCTCAGATGGAGCTCAGTGACAAAAAAAAAAATAAATTGGGAACTGCTTTCATAGGACAGGAACAGTGCTTTCCTTTCCACCTGGAGGACATCCAGCACGTTTTGTTTGCTATTGGGGATATAAAAGAAAAGCCACGGGCGAAAGAACAGAGAAGAACTCCTTGGCTTGTGTGAACTTAGTCTGTGAATGGTGCAAGCAGATGCGATAAGTACTGTTCGAATTACGGGGGATCTGAATGGTTTGTTGAGCTGAATGCACAGCAGGGTGTTCGGATGCCATGCTGTAAAATTAATTTGAGCTTTTCTCATCTGGTGGTGTGGGGGTATATACGTCTCCTGAGATGCAAATAGAGAAGGTTGGAGGGTGCTGTGCATTGCTCTGATACACATTGCAAGAACTGGTTGATATATCCGTTACTGGCGTGTATCGAAAAAGGTGTAAAAACTCAGCAAGCCTGAAATCGCTGGAGTCTGTAGTAGAAATGTTTCTCTATTGCAGTGCTGAGTGAGTTTTTGAATCTGTGCTGCTCCTTGCTTGTCTCCTTGGCTTACGCTGGCCCCTGTCCTGTTTTGTTACAGGGTTTCTGGAGCGCAGCGATGAGGAAGCCTCGGAGGAGGTCCCGGCAGAACCTGGAGGGGAGGCGTTCTCCCTCGCCCTACAGCCTCAAGTGCTCGCCGACTCGGGAGACTCTGACGTATGCTCAGGCCCAGCGGATCGTGGAGGTAGACATCGATGGGCGGCTTCATCGCATCAGCATCTACGATCCCTTAAAAATCATCACGGAGGACGAGCTGACTGCCCAGGACATCACAGAGTGCAACAGCAACAAGGAAAACAGCGAGCAACCCCTTTTCCCTTCCAAATCTAAGAAAACACCTTCCAAAGGCAAGAAGAAGGACTCCTGCTCCAAACATGCACCAGGGACGTCTTTACACTTACCCCAGCCCACCTTCCGTGTGGTGGACTCCTTCAGCCAGCCCGAGGCCCCTCCTCTCCCTCCCTCCTACTACCGGTACATTGAAAAGCCTCCCGAGGACCTCGATGTAGAGGTGGAGTATGACATGGATGAGGAGGATCTGGCGTGGCTGGAAATGGTCAACGAGAAGAGAAGGGATGATGGTTACGGGACAGTTTCTGCTGACACTTTTGAGCTGCTGGTGGATCGGTTGGAAAAGGAGTCGTACCTTGAGAGCCGGAACAACGGGGCTCAGCAGACCCTCATCGATGAGGATGCCTTCTGCTGCGTCTGCATGGATGACGAGTGTCACAACAGCAACGTCATCCTGTTCTGTGATATCTGCAATCTGGCCGTGCACCAGGAGTGTTACGGCGTGCCCTATATCCCCGAGGGCCAGTGGCTTTGCCGCTGCTGTTTACAGTCCCCTTCTCGCCCTGTGGATTGTGTCCTTTGCCCAAACAAAGGTGGAGCCTTCAAGCAGACCAACGATGGCCGCTGGGCTCACGTGGTTTGTGCCATCTGGATCCCAGAGGTCTGCTTTGCGAACACTGTGTTCCTGGAGCCCATTGAAGGGATAAATAACATCCCCCCAGCTCGGTGGAAGCTCACGTGCTATATCTGCAAGCAGAAGGGCATGGGAGCTGCTATCCAATGCCACAAGGTGAACTGTTACACTGCCTTCCACGTCACCTGTGCCCAGCGGGCTGGTCTCTTCATGAAGATCGAACCCATGAGGGAGACCAGCATCAATGGCACGACGTTCACCGTGCGCAAGACTGCCTATTGTGGGAGTCATTCCCCACCTGGGACGGTGAAAAAAGGGTCTCCAGCTGCTAGCGGTGAGGGGCAGGAGGACACTGTGAAGGAGGAGGGAGAGGAGGAAGGCAATTCTGGCCCTCCCAAAGGGTCTCTGAAAAAGAACCAAGTGAAGTTGAAGCAAAAGATCAAAAAGGAGCCTGGTGATGTACCCAACGGGCGTTCATCTGTGCCCATGGTGACAGTCACACAAATCCCCTCTTACAGGTGAGTGTTGCAGGTTTAGGGAAGGAGCTGGAGAGGGTCTGTTTTGAGGACTCGGTCCCTCTCGTTGTTGACCTTGGAAACACTGAATCTTCAGTCAAGACCTAGCAATAACTGTGTTCAAAATGCTCTGCAGAAATCATTCCTGACCAGCGTTCTTCCACGTGAGTGTCGCTGGCACACTGTGGTTCCCCTGCTTTGCCGAGCAGCTGTCCCAAGCTGTTGTGTAACGTAGAATCCATGGTGGTCCCTAATGGCAAACACCCATCTAGCATCTGAATTCACAGAGATTCACACCTGTGAAGGTGTTTTTAAAATACTTCAGGCATTGCAGCTTGGCAGGCAGATAGGGGTCATCTCCCTATTAAATTTTTTTTTAATCTCCTCGTTTCATAGTTTCTTAATTCCTCCTTTTATTACAGAGCATGTCAAACCTGTCAGTGTAGCAACAGCTTTAAATTTGGCTCTGTATTTTTTTCCTCCCAGCTCTTTTCTCATGCAGAACTAGGTAGTGCTGAATTTTCGTTTGGTGCCTTAGGAAGTGTGGTGATGTGTTGCTGGTATTTTAACAGATAAGCTTTGGAAAACTGCTGATAAGGCACCAGGTACAATCTAACAAACGGTTTAAAAAGGTTAAAATAGATGATATATTGTTCTTGGACTCCTGTCAAGTTAGTTTCCCAGACTCCAGTGACACTGAAAGTAGTTTTGAAATGAAAGCTTGGAGCTGAATTGGTGATTCCATACTTTGACCGTGCTCTGGCAAGTGCTTGGTGAGAACTTCCAGCCGAGCTGCTAGGGATATATTGTGAAAAATAGGCACATATGTCTTCCCGGTGGGGAGATCCCAGATTGTACCAGTTGCACGTGTAATTCAGAGCATGCATTGACACAAGACTGGAAAGCTTCGTCGGGAAACCTGATGGTATCACCAGGGTCTGCAGAGTCACGGTTGCTTTGCAGTTGGCTCCATGAAACCTCTTTGCTTCCTTCAGGCTGAACAAAATCTGCAGCGGCCTCTCCCTCCAGAGGAAGAACCAGTTCATGCAGAGGCTCCACAACTACTGGCTGCTGAAGCGGCAGGCGAGGAACGGGGTGCCCCTGATCCGGCGCCTGCACTCGCACCTCCAGTCCCAGAGGAACGCGGAGCAGGTACTGGTCCCCAGCCAAACCCACGTGGGAGGACGGAGCGTTTGCATTCCAGGGGAAAATGCGCTTGGTGCATGGTTGGGAAGGAGAGTGAGAGTGAAAGGATCGGAGGGTGACCTGATTTAAGTCTCTTTTGGTCTCCTCTTGGTTTGCTCCTGCCTGAAGAGCTGAGTTTAGTGTATCAGTGGGATATCCATCGTGCCACTAGGATGGGTGTTGATGAGCCAGCAGGTGGGAGTTTTTCCCCTGAGTCAGAAGACCCAGGATTGTGCAAGGATGCGATGCGCCCTTGGTGGACTGGTCTCTTAGATGAATCATAAAACCACGTTCCTCACGAGTGATTAAAGATCCCCTCCTCAAGAAAATGGGTGTTAGCTCCAGAGTCCTGGCCAAATTCCAGTTTGGGTCATTCTTCCTGCAGCTTCAGTTTCCGACCCTCCCTCGCACATTCATATGGAAGTTTAGACATAATGATCAGCTCTGGACTCCTTTGCTTCCTCCTCTGAGCTGGCATCCAGAGTCACTCCATCTCGATACTATTAAACAGCCCTGTGTTTGGCACGAGAAGTAGTTGGTGAAGTAATGAAGCAGTCGGACTCTTACATAGCCTGTCAGTAGGTGTTGTGCATGTTGTACACGTATATTTTTACTGTAGTCGGAGGAATTTATAGGCTTTTGGTTTGCATGAAGGCTGCTCTGGGTGATTAATAAAAAAATATTTCCCACTCATCAGGCTGGAGCTTGGGGAAGTGCAGCATTTCCTTGGTGTATTAAATTGGCAATTTACCACAAGTTCTTAAAAACAAATGTCCTATAAATATAAATCATCAAGATCTTGTGAAGCAATTGTCCTCTCTTGGCAATCATGCGAAAGTGTATGCGCTTCAGCTGTATTCTCAAAACCGTTAAAAAAGCTACAGATTTAGGAGAGGAAGGATGATGGCGTTGCGAAGCTACCAAACTGTGCCTTGGAAGGTGTGAGCTCGTTTCCCAGCGTTGGCTGTTCCTTTGTGTTTTGGTGAATCTCTTTCCATGGCTCTATTTCTTACTGGTTACAAAGAGGATAATAATAGCTCTTTTCTCCCATGCTTTTGCTCACCTTGCCTTTATACTGTAAGTGCTTTGGGCTGCCTCTTCGATGCACAGCAGCCAACAGAAAAAATTTCCAGGCTCTGTAATGAATTTGGATATAAAAGCAGGGAGGGTGTAAATGAGCAGGCACTGAAGCGTGTTCCCAGCGTGTAGCCACAGTATGATTTAGGCTGAACTTCACAGATAACGTAAAATCCAGAAAAGCTGATGTTGTGTTTGTTAGACTGTAGGAAGGAGGGGACGTCATCTGAATAAGAGAGAAGCGGACAGGAGGAAGACTATGAGAGCAATTCACAGGGGACGCCTCGAAAGAGGAGGATACGCGGGAAGCCAATTGTGTTTTTCATCTCACCCCACTGCTCTGTCTTACAGAAGGAGCAGGATGAGAAGACCAGCGCCGTGAAGGAAGAGCTGAAGTACTGGCAAAAACTGCGGCATGACTTGGAACGGGCACGGCTGCTCATCGAGCTGATCCGTAAGAGGGAAAAACTCAAACGAGAGCAGGTTGGTAGTTTTGCCTGTCAAGTTGCTGCACTTAGCTTCGATCCCACACAAGCACTGTGTGCTGCAGGAGGCAGAGGAGGAACACAACAGGTTTTCTTGAGCCTTTTCCTCTTTTCATGGGGTCTGATGGGTGTGCCGAGCAGCCATCTCTCTCCCTGTGTCAGTCACCAGCTGGCACTGCTCAGCCTCTGCCCTCAGAACCAGGGCTGGGCTGCAGAGTGCTGGGAAAACGTATTTGCGTAACTAATAGTGGATTTAATTCCTGACCTACAGCACCCCTTCTGTTTCTGGGTGCGGACCGGGTGTTTTGCAGAGTAGAAGTTAGATCTCCTGTAATGATTATTTCAGGAGTTTGGTAACACCTACTCCAGAGGGAGGTCTAAATCACAATTCTGCTCTTCATTTCTAAAGCTAAAAATGCCTGTGTTTTGCCCTCTAAGTACATTTTTTTAGAAGAACAACTTTTAAGACACAGACCATTTACTAAATTTTCCAGTTTCCTCTTTGATCTGTGTGCAGTTCTCCAAAGTTGCACCAATTAAGGTTGCTTCCCATACTTGCCAGCTTTACCTGTTGAGGGTCTTTGCTTGTCGTACCTGGTCGGTCACTGCAGCCACAACTGTGCTCTCTGGCGAGAGTATTTTCAAGGACAACTTCATGAAAGACTCGCCCTGTGCACGCTGAGCCTGTACGTGTGGCCTCAGGCATTGCCTGGGTGCTCTCAGGCTGTCCGCCGGGAGCCGGGCAGAGGGAAAGCAGCATCCTCTGTGATCACAGCTCCTCTGCGAGCTCTTTTTTCACGGCCAGAAACTGCCCACAGCTTTTCTGGAGTCCTTTTAATGCCAGCACTGGTTCATTTGCTGCATTGTCCTTGATTTACAGCAGTGGCTCAGTCCTGCTTGCTGTGTGGACATATTTTAGGTAGGAGGATCGAAAAAAAAAATCACTTTGGGGCTTTGTTTGCTTTTGATATCTTGATACCTCCCTATCACAGTTGGCTAAGTCCAGAAAAGCTTGTTAAAATGATGGTGTGTGTTGTAAAAGGATAAGAAAGATAGCACAGAAAAGTGTATCTAGTTGGAGCTCTAGCCCAGCCCAGCTTTTGGGTGAGTGGAGAAGGATGCTCCAGAGTCCCGAGTCTTTTGTTCGGCTTCTTTCCTGTTTTGGGGGAAGAATGCGGTCTTTATATCTGTGTTCAGTCATTCTGTTATTGATGCTGTCTTGTTGCTTAGCACATCAAATACAGTTTGCTTTGTGTAAATAGACTTGCTTTCGCTTGCTACTGAAGTGGTTGATTTAACGACATAATGAGGGATTACAAGATCAAAGAAATTAAAACGTTAAAGGAGAAATAAATACTTCTATCCTCTTCCAGTCTCCTTTGAATACAGTTTCAGTGTAAGAGATCAAACCGGTGCTACAACTTGTTTGCTTGAAATCAGACTGTATGAGAGACTTCATAAAGGATGTAAGGAATTGTATTAGGAATTTGCGGACATCTAACCACTGTTGTTGTTTGGCCTCTGCCTTGAAGTGTGAGAGCTTATATCTTAAACCTTGTTTATGCTCTCTGGTCTAATTATGGATGTTGTTGTTTATGTAAATGCCTACATACTTTTAACTTTTGTATCATGTTGCCGATTGGCATAATAATATCTTGAGGCAGGGAGTTCTACAGGATAATTTACCAGGCATGGAAAGCTTCTTCCTGTTTTCATTTTTAGTTGTATTATCTTTTAATTTTCTGGGATTTCCTCTTGTTTTGGCTTTATGAGATCGGATAAACAGGAGTTCCCCATACAAAGGACTGGACTGTGCAGTCAGGCTCTGCAAAGCGCTGTCCGCTAATGTGCATCCTGCACATGGAGAGGACAAGGTGTTTGCCCGGAATTCTTCAGCAATGAGTCTACCAGGCTTGTAGTACGGTGACCTGAGGTTTCCACCACCGAGTAGAGCTGAGGTGATGATTCAGGAGAAACCGGAGGGAGACGCCACTCACATATCCTGTCCTTGATAACTGTGCTCATCGCTGTTTTCTCGTTCCCTGCAGGCTGCTATGGAGCTACAGCTGACCCCCTTCAATGTACTTCTGCGCACAACACTGGACCTGCTGCAGGAGAAGGATGCTGCCCAGATCTTCGCAGAGCCTGTTAACCTGAACGAGGCAAGTCTCTTTCCTAGAGGTGTCTAATGGGTTGTAGATGAGGTTTTGCTGGGCAGAAGCTCATGTGCTGTCATACCCCTGGAAGCACAAACCACCCTGTCCCAAGCTGCTGGTGGACTAAAGAATATCTCAAAGAGGACTCACAATGTGGGTATCCTTCCGGGCCAAAAAAGGGTATTGTTTTCTGGAAGCTTCAGCACGTCTCGAACAAGTAATGTTCTGCAGAGCCAGGATGTGTCTGCCTTGACTGGGTGACACAGAAATGAACTGGTGGCACTGCCCCTTGCCGGTGGAAAGGGCATTAAGAGTGCTTATGATGGATGCGCTCTAGTTGGCTAGTAAATGGTTTTTGTAATTGTACAGGTTTTATATGTTTAGGTTCCAGATTACCTGGAATTCATTTCCAACCCAATGGATTTTTCCACCATGAGGCGGAAGCTGGAGTCCCACCTGTACCGAACATTGGATGAGTTTGAGGAAGACTTTAACCTTATAGTTACCAACTGCATGAGGTATAATGCTAAAGACACGATTTTCCACCGAGCAGCTGTCCGGCTCAGAGACCTCGGAGGAGCGATATTGCGTCATGCACGGCGGCAGGCTGAAAACATCGGCTTTGACACTGATGTGGGGATTCACCTGCCTGAGTCACCCAAAACCGAGGACTTTTACCGCTTTTCTTGGGAGGATGGTGAGTGTTCATTAACCTTTTTTTTTTTCAGACAGATCATAACTCTTTTCTTTGTTCTGAGCATGTTCCTCAGCCTGCATGGAAGTCATAGCCATCATTTAGCATGCAAGAATTGTCCTATCCATTTATTTACCTAAGCATATATCTATCTCCTTTAGAGCCTCAGGATTTCAGGTGAGCTGGGCACTCTGAGCTAGGGGCAGCTTAGCTCCAACTCTCTTACTGCATGTCTGTCTTGGAAGAACCTTGTAATTCCCCATGCTGTTTGATTTGTGCCATGGCTGTAGTACAAACTTGGTATTTTAAAGAACAGTGCAAAGGTGCATCTAGGATTTTTTTGTTCTGAGGAAAGCTCATTCATTTCATTGTAAATTGGCAAGGTGTAGAGCATCTGGGTTAGATGGAGCACTGAGGGCTGGGAGGGGATGATGTGGGGTTAAGGTCCTGGGACCCAAGCAGTCCTTCTAGCTGAGACTTTCCATTCACAACGCGACCACATCCATTCCCATGACCGTCTTGAGATGCAGCTCCAAAGCATTGGTTGAATAACTTGGCTAAACTTGGTACGGAATACTGCTGCCATCCAGCACACAGAGCTTGCAGTCTCCCATCCGATTCCTAAATGTTGCAGCCCTCTTGGATGCAGACAGACAGTCTGTTATGAAATTTGTGTTGGTGTATGACAGGACGTCTCTCAGCTGTCTGCCCTGCCCCGGAGGATGCCAGCCCTTCAGCAGAGCCAGAGGAATGGCAAACATGTTATGTTTTGGCCAGTTCTGTTTGTGGTCTGATCGTGTTGTTTAATCTGGCGATGAAATAGGTTTCTGCCAAGGACCTGGACTGTGAGCTGTCTTGTGTGGGGTGCAGGCACATGTGCTTTCACTGTTCCCCCGGGACAATGACGGGAACTGGAGGACAGCGCAAGTTAAATCCGCTGCTCTTTACCCAAAGGAAGGAGGTCTGAGCTCCAAGGTTTACAATTGCTAAATCCCCAAACTAAAGCAATTGGTTCATGAATAGCGTCAGAGGGAATGAGGCATGGCAGTAGTCCCAAATGCTTCTTCAAGAAGCCTTACTCCTTCCCTTCACTGTTACAATCTCTTTTGATGTAGTGGATAACATCCTCCTCCCGGAGAACCGGGCTCACCTCTCCTTGGAGGCCCAGCTGAAGGAGCTGCTGGAGAAGCTGGACATGGTGAGCACCATGCGGTCCAGCGGCGCCCGGACACGACGCATCCGGCTCCTGAGACGGGAGATCAACTCCATTCGGCAGAAGCTGGCCCAGCAGCAGAACAAGACCATGCCCAACGGGGAGCCTGTGCCACGGGAAGAAGGACTGGATAAAACATCAAGGGAAGGGGACGAGGAAGGGGAGAAAGGTGAGAGGTTGCACCAGGATTTTAGCTCCAGCTCTCTAGTGCATGTCAAGACCTGCTGCTTCTCCTGTCTGTGGCCCTAGTGAAAGATGGGAATAGCTGTTGGTAGTTTTGGGAATAACTCTTTCTGAAATGTTCAAGCAGATTCTTTATTCCTTTAGCAGATGATGCCAAACCCCCGCACCCTCCAACCCTGGAACCCACAGGACCCGCACCCTCCCTCTCGGAGCTGGACTCTCTGCAGGACCCTCCAACGCTCAAACCCATCAGTGAAAGCAAGTCCTTGAATCAGCTGCAGAAGAGGATGATGTCGGACAGGGAGCTCTTTGACAAGAAGGCTCTGCAGCGGGAGAGCCAAGCCTTCCAGCGCCTGCTCAGCGACAATGGCCTGAACGGACTGGCCTTGCCGCCTGCAGACACCCCCGCCAGCCCCCCCTTCAGCGGTGTGGGCCGACGGACATCTGTCCTTTTTAAAAAAGCTAAGAATGGGGTGAAGCTTCAAAGAGGCCTGGACTGCTCCCTGGAGAACGGGGAGGACCACGAGCAGAGTGGGCAGCTTTCGCCCTCCCGTCCTGATGGGGAGCGACAAGCTCGGAAGCGGCCGCAGAGCAGGACCCGCCTCGAGAGCGATGGAGAGAAGTTGCCCAGGCAGGGAGGACAGAGAGGTAATTCCTTGGGATTTTGCTTCCTTCTGAGCCCTTGGAAACATGCGAGATGGGGCTGAGGGAGTGGAAATCCTCGGGCCGAGTGAAGATGTCTGCATCCAAACTACTCACCTGAAAATCACTTTATGCTTGGGGGAAACAGAAGCAGATGTGCCTGATGAATGCTTCATCTGTTCCACACATTTCTAAAATAGGGCAGAGAAGACATGTCCGTAATGAGTTGCATCACTCTTCTCCACTGACTATACACGGAGTTTCTGGTAACTTAGCTCAGCTCTAGACACCTCCATTTTTAGACATTTAAAGGTACCAAGATGAAGCCCAGGGGGGTCACAAGTAGGTCTTCTCTTTGCCACTCCACAGGGCTGCTATAAGAGAGAGTTTGCCATTTTTTGTAGGGCAAGTCAACACGCCAGCTGCTTGCAAGGCTGTTGGAGGGCCTTGCTGGAGACACCGAGGTCTCTGGTAAGGGCTGAGAAGTGTTGGCGTTCCTGCCTGGCAAACCTGAGAAGGGTTTGCGTTGGCTCGGCCACTCCTAGGAGTGGGAGTTCCCTGCTGCAGAAATGGTGCGTTTGGTGGGAAGTGTGCAGGGACCAGTAACACGGCACCCATGTAAGATGAGATGTTAAATGTTCCTTTTAAGTCAGCTGTACTCTCAGTTCTGGGGTTTAGATAAAATTAGTGGGAATACCAAGCAGGTTCCCTTTCAGATTAGATCTGCAAATGAGAGTAAGCAGCTGAGGTGAAATTTGGAAAGGCACAAGGTGAAAAGGAACATCTGAGTGACAGCACTGTGATTTCTTTTTAGTTCTGTGTTAACAGCCGTTGTGGGACAGTTCCCATCTGTAAGGCTTGACTTAGCCCACACCTCAAATATTATCTTGAAGTTATTTGGCTGTCAGAAGATCGCTAGAAAGTCAAGAACGTGAGGAAAGCAATTGAATGCGGGGCTTGACTTACCAGGACAGGTTAAAGGAAACACAAATGGCTTCTCCAAAGAGTTGAGGGACTCACCGTCATCATCTGCCAGTAATTAAAGCAGAGAGGAGTTGCCCACAAAGGATACAGGTCAGAATGTGAGGTTGAAATTAAAAAAGGAAAAATACAGTCAGGGTGCTGGAAAATCACTGATACCTAGGCAGTGACATTTTTCCTCTGCTGAGCAGCACTGGTGTTTTTTTTTTCCTGTGAGTTGCTTTTGTGGTTCAGCTCCTTCCACCGTTTCAAACACAATTGATTTCTCCTAAGTGGAGGGAGTGTCCGGTGTGCCGAATCTGTGTTACCGCAGGAGCAGGTCAGCGTGATCGGGACTGTCGGAACAAGACGTTTCCCAGAAATGTGCTCCTTGTGGCCATTCCATATTTACAGCTGGAAAAACAATAGGGGCCTTGGCATGAATTTGCCCTTTGTATGGATGATGGGCTTTTGGTGAGCCCATGGGGAGCCTGGGGGTGGTGGGTCCCTGGACAGGGAAAGGCCATGGTCATTTGGCTTCTTGTGCCCGCTCTAGGTTTGGGGATGCTCTCAGGGTTCATTCCCTGTCCACCCCTGCCTGTCCCTGGTTGTGGGATCTTGTCTAAGCTCGGAGGTGATCCCGCCTCTCTGTGTAGGTAGGAAACCTGGCAATGAAGAGAAAATTTCCAGCACTGTCAGCATCTGGGGCAAAGAAGTGAAATATTCCACTTACGGCTACAGTGACATCTGTACTGACCGGAGGGGAAGATGGGGGGGAGCTGCCTTCTACCCAGGGGGAATTTCCTTCCTCAGTGTCTGCTCTGTCCGCTGGAAAACCTCATTTCCAGAAATTGAACCAACGAGTTTTTCCTAGAGCAGTTTTCTCTCAGCCAGGAACCTGTAACCGAATAAGCTGGGTTTTATATGCCTGCTGCCGTGGGCAGGGACCAGCCAGGCCAGGGTGAGGCAGGGAGAGGTCCGTGGCAGTCCGCGTGAAGCCTCTGTGTCTTTCCCAAATACACTTGAAACCAGACGAGCAAGTGGTTCATTTCCTGGCATCGGGGCTTCCCTGGCGAGCTGAGTGCTGCGTGGAGCTCTCCTGTACCATCCCATGGCACTTCTCCAGCACTCCCTTCTTCAGAGACAGCCTAATATTTCACGGGGGCAGAAATACCTTTTATTAGTCACCTTTTGGTTGTAGCTGAGTCTGGGGGACTCGGTGCAGAATTCCCCTCTCTGGTTGAAGCACTCAGCATCTTTGTGGCTGAGTCATGGGACAGTGACCCTACCTGAGTCGTGGTAGCATCTCTATGTCTTGCTGCTCTTCTTTGGGCTGATTCCCATTTGTCTCCTCGGCAGGAGTGACTAACGGCTTTGCGAAGCACACGGAAAGCAGCTCTGACTCTGAGTGCGGCTCTGGCCTGGGCACTGGACTGGTGTTTGAAGCCTGCAGGTAAGTGCCCCCTGCGAAACTGTTCCCCAGAACACCTTCTATGTCTGGATTAATCGACCTGGGTTTATTGTTCGACTTCTTTGTTTCAAACCCAGCCTAAACTGTTACTCATTTTGTGTGTTGACCCTAAATGACAAAGAGCTTCTGAGGTTCCAACCTGTCCTCTTGACCTGTAGGTCCCAAAAGCAGTGCTTGATTTTTTCAAGCACATGAATGTCTGTTACACTTCTGTTCCTCAGTGCATGCACATCCTCCCTGCTGATGCGTACCTTCTTGCACTTCTTGAGAGCCAAAGCTAGAAAAACCTTGAACTCAAACGTCCAGTTCAGCACTGCAGGTGAAGCTGAACTTCTACCTAAACTGCTGCTTTCTTCCTCTCAGAGGTTTAAAAGCAGAACCGGGCACTTCAAAAAAGGACTGGATGGACTTAAAGCAAACATCTGTCATCTTTCGGTCAGATGCAGTAGGCATACGTGGGTACTCCCTCCATTTTCTGGTCTCACCTACCTATCCAGCCCTCTGAAAACTGACTCAAGTAATTTCACAGTCCTTTCACTGCACAGTAAAACCTGTATTATGCCAGAATCAGGTTTGTGTGTGTGTGAGTGGCAGGCTGAGGACATTTGACCTTGATGGGTAAGATCATCCAGACCAGGCAGAAGCAAGACCTTCTTAGTTGATATTCTTAATAATATCTTCAGTGCCTTGAACACATCATTGCCCTCTGCTTGTCTTTGATGACCCTGAGGGTGATGACCCATCACTAGAGAAATACATTCAGACATTTTATGCATCCTCCCAATGCGTGTGCTCAGTTAGTCCTGAGAGATTTCAAGCTTGCACTTAAGATCGTGAAGCTCTCTGTGCACACCCGTTCTTGGGACTGAAGCTCCAGTTTAAAACTATTAGCTGAATAACAAATATTCGGCAGCACGCTTGAATCCCAGGAGCATTTTTCAAATGAAAACTTTGCTCTGCTATGCAGAGTGATCCTAAATGTTTCTTGTCAAAAGAGGTGTATGATTTTGCAGTTGTAGCTGAGGTTTGATTCGTGTTTCCATTATGAATCGGTTTGCAAAGGCTTTCGTGCCCAATGCAAGGGGCGAGGCCCTGGGTTCAGAGGAGCAGTTTTGGTGCGAGGGCTTCTCCCTGCGGCAGTCTGATCCCACGTCCACGGTTGGGTGCTGGGCAGCCCGAGGGAAGCGCGTGATGCCCCAGTAAATTCTCTCTCTTAGCACATCCTGAGCCCCTCGGAGGCATAGGACCTCCCGCGCTTCTCTGAGATGGGACACCCACCCACCTCTTCATCTCTCCCCTCTTCTGTGGGCTGCGTGCCCCCATCATCAGCTCAGTCAGTGCCTCTTCGGTGAGCTGGATGCTACCGTGGCCCCCGTGCAGATCTCACAAGAAGCTATTGCGATAAACTATCGTAAAGCGAGGAGCTGCATCGAAGGGAACAAAAAGGAGATGCCTGGATTTGCGGGTTGTTGTAGTGTCCTCTAAATGAGGGCCCTTGAGTCGTGTAGAAATCCTTCATGGGGTGAGGATGCTCTCAGAACAGGACCAGGAGCCAGAACCTCCCTTTCAAACCATGTCTTGGCCTTATGACCCCACTGTATTTTCTCTGTTTCCCCATCCGTAAGTGACGGAGACAAGTCTGAATTCACAGAGGAGTGTGGGGACTTGTTGGTTGATGTTTGTATAGTACTTTGAAGATGAAAAGTGTGATGTAAGTGCTTATTACAATAATTGCAAGCAATTCACATAGCAAAAATTACATTAGAGTAATGTGACACCCACAAAACAAGGAATTAAAAACAAGCTGATGTCTCGTGGATAACTTGTACAATTATTCTATTTAGGAACAGCACTGTTTACTGCTTTTTCTTCAGTCTGTCTTTTTGAGCATCAAATTATCTCAGAATGGATTCCTTATTAGAAAATTGTAAAAGAAAAAAAAAGAATTACAATAAGTGAAAAAACTATGATTGCTTGAGGTGGAGATAGTCCGTTTTTTGAAATGTTTGTAGTAATCAGATAAAAGAACGTTCAGGACATGGGCTGATAAAGTCCAATTACATAGATATTGGAGTCGTGTTGGAGGTCATCTCTGAAATCCATACACAGCCGGGTGAGCTCATGCAAGCTCCAAGCATCAGTGCATCAGCTCTCCGGCATGAGTTCTTTGCTGGGTTTCTTCCTCATGTTCGTAGCTTGGTTTCTGTCCGTCCCCTTTCCTTACTCACGGCAAAGCTGGGATGACGTCCAGGGCACATGCACCAGAAGAGATGTACTGATGACATTTTGCTCAAGTATTCAATGTTCTTTTCATGTCAGTGATTTTTTTTCATGTACAGTAATTTTCCAGTATTTTAAACAGAGCTGGGGAATCTACTTACTTGGCTTTATTTTCAAGGGTAAGCTGTTTTCTCCTAATGCCCTACTTTTCTGTGTTTTTCTCACAGTGGTTTGATGCCTCCCAAGCGAAGTCGAGGGAAGCCTGCTCTTTCTCGGGTGCCCTTCTTGGAAGGTGTGAACGGTTTTTTTTCATGTACAGTAATTTTCCAGTATTTTAAACAGAGCTGGGGAATCTACTTACTTGGCTTTATTTTCAAGGGTAAGCTGTTTTCTCCTAATGCCCTACTTTTCTGTGTTTTTCTCACAGTGGTTTGATGCCTCCCAAGCGAAGTCGAGGGAAGCCTGCTCTTTCTCGGGTGCCCTTCTTGGAAGGTGTGAACGGAGACTCTGATTATTTTTTTGGCTGCGCAGCACACCCCGCTCCGCTCCCACCACACCGTAGGGCTGACATCCCTCTGAACCAGGGGGAGCAGGTCTCGATGCACATCGGGAACCAGTCCTGCACGAATCATCCAGGTTGTACGATCAGGCTGCCCACCTGCCCCTGCGTTATTACCTGCTTTGTTACAAATTTAGGTTATCGCATTAAAGGTTTTTCCAGCTTTCGCTTTTGCCGATTGCCTGTGCCCTGCGTTCTCCTCGGATGGGTGCTTTCTGTCGGTCTGGTGTGTGTAATGTGCCTGGCACTCTCTTCTCCTGTTTTGGGACTAGTTCTCTTTAGTGGTGCTGCAATACAAACAGTAAATCATAATTACAAGAGGAGTCTGTCTGGAGATGACTTCCTAGCTGTTCCTTCTTGTATTGCTATCATTGCTTTCAAGGTCTTTCTCACAAAGTCATCTTTGTCAGACTGTGCTATACATCAGTAAAATTAAGTCACACTCCTCTAAGACTACCCACGGCACTACTCCGATCTTCCAGCGCTCACACAACCAGATTCTTGTCTTTCTTAGGGTGTGTCCATGGTAGAGTTATTGGAGGTTTTTCCTGAAATGAGAATTCAGCTTTGAGTCCCTGGTACGCCTGTGCCCTTCTGCACAGCTTCCGTGTGCTGGCTCCCGTCTCCCTGGGAACCGTTATTATCCTGGGCCCTGTGTGCTCAGCAGTCTGCTTCGGAGATAAGCTTACAGAGCAGGGCTGGTACCGGGAGAATTAGAATCAGTGGAACAATTCTGTGGTTTAGAATATCATTTCATTAATGGGAGAATACATCTGGAATGCGATAGTGGAGAGGCACATCAGATCTGTCTTGGCAGGGTGCTCATTTGGGTTGTATTCGGCGTTTTCTAGGTTCAGTTCGACTTCTGGTAAAGCCAGTGCTTGACCATTCCCTGCCAGAGCAAATGGGGAATTTTACGTCCTGTAAAATTCACATTAATGAAGATTACTCCTTTTCCAGGATCAGGAGCTGGCAGATTAGTTATTCATGTCTTGAATGGATCTTCTGACTGAGTTTGAAAAGATTGATGGCTAATAGACTTCTGTCATCTAGAACCAGGCATTTCCTGCAGAGATCAAATAGCCACAAAGTATATGACATCAGAACAGTCCAGGTATTTGTATTTAGGAGGAATAAACGAGACCTCTCTGGACAGTGGTCCAGATAAATCTCAGATACAGCTTTGTCAGTTCCATCGAGGATGGATTTGACTTGGTGGAGCCTAATGGACCCAATTCACCTCTTGTATACCCATTTGATTTCAGTGATATAGCAGCTCTTCACTCCAGAAATGAATTTGATTAATATTTTCCATATTGAAGAGTTCATCTGAAGCTACATGCATGCATAGCCTTAGACCCATGACTTAGGGGACTGTGGCTTTATCTTAATGCAGAACATGACTGTACTGACAGAGCATAAAGAAGGCTGGACATTCCCCGTGGCCAGGCTGGATCTCCCTGCATGTTCAAGTTTATCATAAACTTACTGCAGATGAGATGCATGTCTTGTCACCTCTGGTTCGGATACCCAATGCATATAGGTACAAACAATAAATGGCTTTCCATTTTCTTGTAGATCTTGATTAAGAGAAGTGGTCTGGAATTATGCATATGTGCACACAGTAATGTTTAAATATATGCTCTTGTGTGATGAATAGCTCAACAATAGGTCTGTTATTAAAAAAAGGTGGAATTCCAACTTTTTGCTTATTAAAAGCAGGAATTAAAACAGGAATAATGTCGATATGCTTTAAGGACAACAGTAGTTCATCTCTTTTAGCTGATGGCTACTGAGACAATGCAGGCTGCTGTGCCTGGGTTAGATGACAGTGTGATTTCTTGTGTTATCATAACCGCCTTGCTAGTAATCGCCCTCCTAAGCCATGTCTCCTTCTGTCCCTTAGGCAGGACTCTCCTGATGTCCTTTGAGGGTCAGGCTGAGCTGGAGCCCTTGGAGCTTGTATGGGCCAAGTGCCGTGGCTATCCCTCCTACCCTGCCTTGGTGAGTACCCCTTGCTCTCTCACAGCCTGCACCCGCAGCGCAGCTAGCCCAGAACACAGTGCTCGTGTGCAACGTAACCAGACAGAAAACTTCCCCAAATCATGCAATATATGCTTCCCCCCCTCCCCTTTCCCCTTTGCACAGTTAATTTTCCCTGTGCTCATTGTTTCAGAGCATTGCAGAGGATTCATAAAACATTGGTCTCTCGGTGCCAAGGATAGGAGGAGATCTTTCCTCTCCTCTCCTGTTCACTCTGCAGGTATGGGGAAAGTAATCAGTACTGTTGGCATGAGAGAAGACCTAAATTTTACAAAGGCAGGCACCAGGATCCACTGGTGTGTAACTTCCCACACATTTTCCTATACAGTGAGTACAACTCCATATGTGGGCGCCCAGCCGGTCTTGTGATGTAGATATCCTCTCACAATACCCGTGTGTTTGATTTAAATATGAGAATATATGCACGTGTTTGCACCTAGTCCTTTGAACGATATTGCCTTAATATTTATCCGTCTTTGGATATTTGAATATTAACGTGAAATCCATAAACCTGGCGTCAGTGAGCACCGTGCTCAGTTCCAAAGCAAGACAGGACATGCAGCTCCTGCTGGGAAGTGCCAGCACCACTGCAGGCTTTTAAGTGCTTCTTAAGTTATCCACAGAGATTGCTGAAGTAAGTATATAAGTAAGAACATGAGATAGGCTGACTGTGTTTTGTTGTTTCTGCTACTTTTAAATATATCCCTTGAGACGTGGCTCTTCCTGCCATCTCTGCTCCACGTAATTTCTGCATGGCTGCAGCCATCCCCTTAAATATCTTTATGGTTGGGATCGCGAAAACAGACAGCGCTTGTGACTGCTGAGGAGTTGTAGGGGGTGAAAGCAAGTGGAGTCATCACGGAAATTACACAGATCTCTACCTCCGAGCAGCGGAGCAGTGAAACCGGGGGTGAGCTGACACAGCGAGTGTGCCCGGCCGTGGCTGAGCGCGGCTCTGATGCCGCCAGAAAGGGCAGATTCTGCTAAAAGAGTGACCCTCGTCCGTGCTCTTACTCGTAAGAGGAGGGAACAGCTATGGATCTGCTAGCCCTGTTGGCCAGCCAAAGCGTTTCTAGATCTTTGTGTGGCTACGGCCAAAGTGAAACCGTGCTTTAGCATGGTTTTAAATACTGAGATCACCCCCCAAAAAAGGCATTTTTTTAATAGCGACCTGTTGCAGTGGTTAAGTGTCTTAATAAATTCCTACAGCTGGCCGATGTCAAAAGCCAAGCTGCTTTTTCAAGCCCTTAGGAGCCAGGATCAGGAGACGGAGAAGAGCAGACTGAGTATTGCATCCACCCTTTGCTGCTTCGTTCTCCTCCTGTGATCACGTAGCACAAACGTTGGACGCTGCTTTATACGGGGAGAATCGTTGCATCTGTTGCTACTTCTCTCCAAAATGACTGCAGTCTGCGTTCCCCGAGCCTGATAAAGCCGGCACTGCTTGTCAACTCTCTCAAAAATATTGGGCCTGATTCTGATCTAAGAGCGGTATAAATCAGAGTCCGCTGAAGTCAACTGAATTGCCCCAGAACGGAGCTGTCGTGAAATCGCGTTATGCCCGCTGAGTACAGCAGTGGTGTTACATTTATTGTGTGAGTTTGGAGGGAGGGAGGGAAATCCTTGGCTGAGCACAACAGTACTGAGTTGGTACGAAATTACCAATTAGTGTAAATGCATCTACATCCACACAGAGCCACATACTTAACGTCCTTTCCCTTTTTTACAATCAAGTGCTTGGCTTTTGGACTGACTGGCTTCCCTTCCCTTCCACAGGGGAAGCCTCGAGGACAGGGAAATTCTTTTAAAAGAGCCGCTGAGGACAAGCAATTCCGCTTACCCATCCTAAGTAGATTTTAATTGTCAAGCTTGGATAGACTGAAAGAACAGAAAAAAAAAAATCTATTCTCTGCAGTACTTGAAGGGTTTTGTGTTTAAACATCCTTTCCCTGTGTCACTAGATAATCGATCCCAAGATGCCGCGCGAGGGTCTGCTCCACAACGGAGTCCCCATCCCAGTCCCACCCGTGGATGTGTTGAAGTTGGGGGAGCAGAGGCAGACAGAGGCAGGAGAAAAGCTCTTCCTTGTCCTTTTCTTTGACAACAAGAGAACCTGGTGAGTGTGTGCAGACAGGCGGGGGCCTGTGGCGAGTGCTGTGGCAGAGAGCGAAAATTTAACATAATCTTTGGTGTATGGGAGCATCCAGGGATGATGATGATGATGTTACCTGTAAATGGGAGAATTTAAACATGCGGCAGTCAAGAAGACTCTAAATAAGGAAGCCAGCCTGCTTTGTCTGGCCCAAGAGCGTGGCATCTGACTGCTCCACTTCTATGGTGAACAGCCCAGCATCCTTCATCACCCTGTGATCCAGGGGTCACATCGCCACAAAAATAGAGGCACGTGAAGAGCCAATTTGGTAGTCAAAATCTGCGGCAAATTAGAGAGAGAATTTGACTTTAAAACACCAGCAGACTGAGCAGCCAGTTCCACTGCTGCGCAAAAGATTTGCCAAAAATCTCCAGGGTAACATTTTCAAAATGCTGGGTTTGTTCCATATTTAGACTTGCCTGATTTTTCAGAGGTGCCGAGTACCTGCAGTTTTCAAATCAAGATATTTGTTTAAGATGGAAAATGTAGCTGTAAGCACCTTTTCAGGGCAAGTGAAATATCTCAAGGTCTTTTACAGTTCTGTCCCAGACAGACTGAATCTGCTGATTTCAGTATCGGTGGCTGACCGTGCTCAGATGGTAACAATAACCCAGCCAGATATAATAAGCCACAAACCAGTGAAGTGCCTTAAAAATAAGCAGTAGGGCTTTGAAATTGGTGTGTGAAACAATGGGAAACTTGCGATGCTGGAAGAGATGAGTCCCCGCAATGAGGCAAGCAGCCGCTCGCTGAACCCGCTGGATTATTTAACCAGCAAATGCCACATGGGAACACGATCCGAGCAAATAAATTGTCACCCAGGAGGCAAGACCTGTGTGCAGCTGGGATCACAGATCCGGAAAGTTGATACTGTGGACAAAGCGGATGCTGGGCCGTTGGGATGCACATGGGAACGGAGGAGAGAATGGGTTTGCCTCTTCTGCTGCTGCCTCTATAACATAAGATACCAAGAGTTTAAAAAGGAGCCTTGTGGCGCTCCCAGAGCCCTTCTGCTCCTCAGTCTCCTGGGGAAGGTCTTTGCTGGCATCCCTGGAAGAGCAGGGAACCACGAGATCAGGGAAGGGCGAGGGGCTGGAGGAAGGAGGTGAACGTTGCCCGGAGGTCGTGTCGCGGCTGGAGGGAAGGTGCATCACGGGGAGGGAGCAGAGCCAAACGCACAGCAGGGTAAAGCAACAAGGGGGAATGTTTTTTTCCCCTACATTTTGGGGCTGCTGCAATGTTTTATGCAGTCTAACAAGAAGGAGGCAAGGTGCAACACGGGCAAAGGAAAAGCGTGTGCCATCTTCTTGGGAAGCTGAGAAGGGGATCACGTTTGCATCACTTGATGAGTATGTTTGTATGTTTGTGCCCTCTGGGAAAAAGAGGTGCCAAGGACCACACTCCTGAGGTTTTTTGTTAGTACGCTGCAGTGTTTCATTGTTCCTGATTACCAGAACCATTTGATAAGGGGCACGTTCTTCAAAGCGTTCCTAATGATTTTTAGTGGAAAATCAGTGGCAGTGCCATGCTTCCTGTTGCTGTAGTCATCAGTTTTGAAAAATCTAAATCCAAACTTGTAATTGAAACTACCTTCCCAATAAAAATCAGCTTTTCCTTGGCTTTGCCCTGCTCTTGTTGGAGTCAAGCTCTGGTGGATGTTTAGACTCTTAAGTGGCCACTTAGAGCCTTGTTTGCGGTTTGTGGGAAGCTAAGGCCTTCGGGAAAGTCCTAAAAACCCCTCTTAGTGCCAGATCTAAATCCTGCTGACTTCAATGATGCTGCAGAAGGGTCACAAAGACTGAAATTGGTCCCTCATCTTTGTGGTGAAGATAAGCTGAGCTGCCCTGAGTTGCCCGTGTTGGCTGGCTGGGAGATGCTTTGAACTGTGCTAGTGGCGGCTGAGGTTGAACTGCGAGGGGCTGGACTTTGTTAGGAAAGCTGGATGGGATGTTTCTGAATGTGGTAGCTCACCTGGGCTAATGACTGCACGATAAAAACTCACTGTAGGCAAGGCACTTACTATTTAAGTCATCAGTTGGTTGAGGTCAGCCTGGGCTTGGGACGTGTCTACTGGAAGCTGCTTGTTTCTGGATGACGCTCAGATCGTTGGACCCACCCAGACCCTGATGCTTACAGCCTCTTGGAACAAGGCAGAGCTTTCTCAGGCATAAAAAACTTACTTTCCACCGTGGAAATCCCTGTGTTTGCTGCTCTGTGGAGCACAGGAATTTCCAAGTTTCCGGTGGAGCTCCAAGGAGCATTGAAAGCCTTGAGTAAGGACTCTGAGGAGAGAGAAAACTGTGCCCGTGCAGGAAGGCATTTTGGCTACAGGTGGTTCTTCTGTGTCAAATGCAGGCATTTAAAGGTTTGTAGCATCATTGCGGGGTGTTAATTATAAACAGGGGATCACGTGAGCGTAGCTGCTGCTGGGGAGGCGATGACAACCAGGGACTAATTGCTGCTGAGATCTGTGGGGGATGCTTGAGGAGCTGGAGTACTTGGCCACGTCTTGGAAACTCTTGGGACAAACTCCTTGACCTGTAGCAGCCGCGCAGTGGGTACGAGAGCCGGGCGCATCGGAGCAGCCAGCCTCCTGCAGAGAGCTCAGGCGTAGCGTTGCAAGGGCAAGAGGCCTCCGGGTGTTTGCTCTTCTTTCCGCGTTTCCCCTCTCGATGCCCTCGGTGACAGGGCTTTGCGCTCTCCTTTCCATTGCAGGCAGTGGCTTCCGCGTGACAAAGTCTATCCCCTCGGCGTGGACGACACGGTGGACAAGTTAAAGATGATGGAAGGACGAAAAACCAGCATCCGCAAGTCTGTGCAGGTGGCGTACGACCGTGCCATGATTCACATGAGCCGCGTGCGGGGAGATCATCCCTTCGTTACGTCCAGTTATCTGTAAGGGATCGAGGTGGCCGGTCCTCCTTTTCCTCCAGACCCCGCTCTCTGCGTCGGCAGAGCGGACCGTCTCCTGCACTGACCGGCCGGGGGACGCCGTTCCCAGCAGCTGTCAGCACTCCTCCAAGTACCCTGAAATGTGCCAAAAAGCCTGTCCAGCTTCTTTCTGAATGTGTCTCGCCGAAGAGCTGGCAGGAGATGAAATGTATAGTCCGCAGGGCCAGGAGTAAGGGAGTTAGGGAAAGCTGCCAGGTGACGGGAGCCAAGGTTGAGCTGATGCAGTGGGGCAGAGCGCAGCGCTGGGATGTTCGGACCTCATGCACCCTCCCTTGCCCCTGCCTCCCCCGTGCCGCCGGGGTTTTGAAGTCATCAGCCGGCCCCGAGTAAGTCCCAGGAACCCGTCGGCACTGTAACCGAACCAGGATCCTTTACGGCAATCCCGACTGGACTTTCTTGTGCCAAATTTACCCTAACCATCATTGGCCTTTTCATTTTTTTTTAAAATGACATTGATTGTCCCATCATGTTGAAAAGAAAAAAAAAATCGTAGCCGTTACGATTTTCCTGCCTACGTACGTAGTGTTTTCATGTTAGATTTCTCTCATTGCATTTAGAGAAGCTTGAGAGATTTTGGTAACCTTCCCCTCTGCTGCACACACTGACATGCACAGATGCACAGAGCTTTAAGTATGAAAAGCAAATTACCTGATTTTTGTGTGTGTGTATGTATGTCCTAGAAATTGATTTGGTAGTTTCACATTTAAATTCTGATTTCTGTGACTGTGCTTGTTCCGGTAACATTTCGTATCATGGTTTAGTACAGTACTGAGTCTAAGCAAAGATAACTTCCTTTTTTTGAAGAAGCAAAACTAATTTTGGAGGTGTCTCATGAGCTGGAGCAGCTTTGCAGGCACTGAGGTTGATCAGGGTTGGAGGGAGATACATCTTTTGTGTTGGTTTATGCACATTTGGTGTAAGGCTCCTCTTCCTTTCTTCCCGTTTTTCCGTCTCTCTAACCTTTTCCTCTGACTCGGTTTGGGTTGAAACCAAGCACTAACTAGAGCACACGACCATTTTGCCTTTTCGCCTTCTCCCGCGCACGCGTATCCCGTCCCTGGTGCGGGGGGCTCCAGCCTTGTCATCCATTAAATCCCAAGTAAACCCAGCTCTGCAGACAATCCCTGTTTTTTTTGGGTTTGCGATGCAAAAATGGGGAGAACCGATGTTTGGGAACTTGACCAAACCTTTTCTATTAGCCAAGGACTTTATGATTTCTCTGAGCTCTTCTGTTGGGTAGCCCTTTTTGCTTTCCCATTTTAAGAACCAAAGGTGCAGAGCAAGATTGTAGATTGAGTATCATCATTTCGCTTTTTAACTCAATATTTTTTTATTATTTTAACTTTTTCATACTGAAGAGAATGTGGGGGTCAAAATAATAATTATTAATAATAATAATAATGAATAGTGGGGAGTAATCACTGCCATTTCTACTTGGTCTACTTTTTTAAAATACCACTTCTTATACATTGGGACATGGAACCACACTTTACGGGAGATTCCTGTAACATATAGAGATGGGGCGTAGAATTTTGTAAAAATAATAGTAGTAATAATGCCTATGGAGTGTGGCTAGGGAAGGATGTTGTGTATATAGTTGTAAAATATTGTTCTAAATTATTTAGACCTATTGTCACCATTCTTGAAGTCCTCAGTTGTGTTGCTGGGTCTTTTATATGCACACGGTGTAATTTATTTAAAGGAACATACACTTTTCCAGGTGGTAGCTCAGCTGTGGACTTGTGACCTGTGTATATGTTTGAAGATCTTGGGAGTTGGGTTTTTTTGGGGGTTTTGTTTTGTTTCGTTTTGTTTTTTTTAAATGACGTTTTAGAATTTGAATTGGCTAATAGCCTGCTGTTGCTACGGGACCTAAACGTTACTGTCAGTCTGCTGTAAAGCACAGATCGCTCTATTTATTGTAGAAAGTGAGTTTATTTGCTTTCTAGAATTGTTTATATCAGATGGTATAAGAGAGGTAATAAGAAAATCTATGCTTGTAAAGAAAAAAAAATGCTAATTTTACCTACTATAATCTGACTGTCTGAGACTATATTTTCTCTCTGAGAAATAAATGTTCTAATGTATAAAAAAAGAAAGAAAAAATAAGAGTCCTTCCTTGCTAGTGTTGTCCTGAGGTCCAGGACATCTCTTACCGCGATGGTTTTTATTCATCCCCGTTGTCCCAGATGCAGGTGCAAAGCGGTTGCAAAGAGCAAGGATGGGGAAGGGACACGCCGGGGGGGTTTCTTGTGCTGCCTTGAGCATCTCCGGGAGGTGAGTTAGCTCCCTGTGCGATGGGGGCTGCAGGATGGGATCCCGCCTGGCGCCTGACAGCCCCACAGGGGTGGGATTTGGGAATGTGGGGCTTGGAATCCCATCTCCCGGTGATGCTCATGGCCCTTGGTGGGCTCGGGGGCTTCTGCGAGGCCGGGCCATGGGCAGGGGGACTTGGCAGCACACGGAGACAGGAGCCGGGCGATGCAGGGGCGGCAGGGCAGGAGGCTGCAACCGGGCTGCTCCTCGGCTCCTGGCGGGAGAGGGTTTCTCATCTTAGCAGGGCTCTTGCGTTGTTTCTCTTCCCCAAGACGTGTTTTCAGCACGTGCATTACCGGTGATAATTAAAGGAGAAATAACGAGCCCTGCAGTTAATAAACTCCCTGCAGTGGCACCCTGCCTCTTTTGCTCCATCCCAGAGCAGCTCCTAAAATCCAGGTGAAACCCCACTTGCTGGTGGGTGCTGGGTCCCCCCCAGGCTGGGGGGCAATGCCGTGGCTCCCACGGATGCAGAGATCGGTGTTGGGGGTCCCCGCTGGGCACCCTCCAGTGCCACCGGCCAGAGGGACACCCTGCTCCCCGCTCCGCAGGGACCCGCAGCCGCACGGACGCTTCCAGGCTGGGAGCAGAAATCCCCGCTCTGGCAGGATGGGACCTCATCCTGGGTTGCCCCAGGACAGGGATGCTCAGCACCTTGCAGGATCAGGGGTACGGTCACTCCCAGCCTGCATTTCCAAAGGACAACAGGGCACTCACACTGAAAAGGGTGCTGAGCCTCCAGCAGGATCCGACCCGGTCAGGGAAAGCAGCCCAAAACCCAGAGCAGCTCCTGCCAGTGTGGAGGCCAGAAACAACCCTGATGGGCTCTCCTGCCCCAGACTCAAGGTTCCCCCGATTTAAGCTCTCCGCAAAGCGGGGGGTGCAGGGAGCAGAGCCCCGGGGAGGGGTCCGGGGGCTGACGTGGTGCTGGGGACACAAACCCTGGCTGGGGATGGGGGCTGCGTGGCCCTGGTGGGACCCAGGGGAAGGAGCTGGAGAGCCAGCCCTTCACAATCAATTATAACAAAACCTGAGCAACAAACGCAGGTAATTAAACTCGCCCAGAAATAATTACGTCTGTTCCACTCCACTGAACTTTAAAAAATAATTAATAGAAGACAGAAAGTGATGGGGCAGGGGGGTAAAGGTTTGTCCTCAGCAGCACGGAGGGAGGTTTGTCCTCCCATGAGCTGCTCTGACCAACAGCGAACAGACACCACCACCGAGTCCCCCAGCAAGACACGAAGAGAACCTCCTCTTCATCTTACAGGTGGGGAAACTGAGGCAAAAGACACGCCTGAAGCCCCTCATGAGGCCAAACAAGGACTCAGCGCCCCCAACCCCACCGCAAACCCCTGCCCGACCACACAGGTCAGTTGTTGGTTTGGGGTCTTGTTGGGTTTTTTTTTTTTCTTTTTATGTTTTTTAATTTGCCACGTTAAAGTAAGGACCACCAGGTCTGCTCTCTCGGAGGAAACAACGAAAAGGCACACACGAAAATAAAGTAAAAGTCCAAACGCCTGAGAAAAACAACTCCAGGTTAGGAAAGCGATTTCTTGACACTGTTTGGAGTTTTATTGGCAACAAGGCTCTGCCTTTCACATGCTTGGCCCCGGCCTCACGGCCCACTGCCTTTTCCCATCGGGAACAGCAATGGAAAGCGGAGGGACCGGGAACCTCCGGGCCCTGCCGACAGCCCACATCGCCCCGCGGGAGCACTGGGAGCAACCCGGGGTGGCCCAGATCCGTACCCCAACACCCTCCCGCATCCAGCCCTTGGCACGACATGGACGGCGCCTGCCCGCGGGAAGAAAACGGCCCGTTAAAACATTCACGATTGGTTTGATTTAAAAGCAGACGGCGGCAAGGCCAGCCCGGTCCTTGCCAGCCCCGCAGGAGAAGCCCCGGGAGGACGTGTCCGCATGGCTGGGGAGCGCCGGGGGCAGCCGGTGCTGGATCCGGGATCGTTCCCCTGGGAGAGTCCCGCCGGCAGCACCGGCACGGCTCTGCCCTGCAGCGCTCGGGGGGACATAACGAGCCCGGATACCCTGTTTCCTCGACGCAGCTCTCCCCTGCTTCCCGCTGGGAGCTCCCGTCTCCTTTAAACGCCCAAATCCTCTTTGTAGGAGAAGCCTTGAGATCCGTATTTCTATCGCACCTCTTCCTGGCAGATCCAACACTGCAAAAACACATTGGGGCAGAAACACCTGCGGCTCTGAAATGCCCCCCACCTCCGGAGGGGTCCAAAGCCCTACGCCGCCGTACCCAGGCATCCTTCCCAGGCGTGGAGAGGATGGGGAAAACAAGGAGTGCACGTTATAAATATAAAATCATTATCTGCTACAAACAGAAGACGTATATTGTACATCTTTGACCCATATACACAAGAACACAATATACACAGAACGCCTCGGAGGAGTGGGGGCTTTGCAAGGGGGGGTTCAGGAGATGTTACTCCCCTACCAGCCCCCCCACGCCTCCCCTCCCCGTGCCGGAGGGGGCTGTACCGACAGCACATCAGTCACCAAAAGTCCCCTCAAGTTGGTGCACATCATTTGAACCACGCCGTGGATGGAGTGGTACCCCCCACCCTGCTGTGCCCACCCTGCTGCCCTGGGGGAGAGGGAGGCGAAGAGGATGGAGAAAAGGAGAGAGGGCAGGTGCGAGGGGCTCTCTCGCAAACCCACAAAGTGCTTGGGGGGTCTCCGGACCCTCGGAGCGAAGCTAGGCCCTGAGAGAAACTTCTTGCCCTGCTGCCCTCGGAGGGATGAAGGATTTTCCGGCCAGGCAGGTCTGTGATAAGGCATTTTCATTTGGGAGTTGGAGCAAACGGTGGCAGAAGAGAGGAGGGAGCAGATGGGGCAGCGCACGTGGTGGCAGATTAACACGAGGCAGCGAAGCTGAGGTGGTCCCAGCTGGGTAAGCCCAGGGCAGGGGGTGGAGAGGAGAGGAGGGCTTCATCCTCAGCTCAGTTTATCTGTAAAGCTGCCCCCCAGGTCCTTCCCCAGCCCCTTCAAGCCTCTCTCCCTGGCTCGAGCTACCTGCACGGCGTGAAATACTGACGGTCGTTGGAGTGGCACATCCAGGCGCGTGGAGTGGCAGACAGGCACACGTTAAGAGTTAAGACAAGAGTCGATGTGAGCTTTGTACAGCGAGGAGCAGCTCCCGGCCGGAGTGTCCGAGGACTTGGGACGACAAAAATGCCACAGTGATCAGATCAGGCCAGGACGAGGGGGTGGGCACGGGGCAGAGGAGGGAGTCAAGTCCTGGCACCTATCGGCGGTAATGATTGGGGGCATCTGCAAACATGTACTTGAGTCTGTAGGCTTCAGCGAGCAGGAGTCCTATTTCTTCGTTACCCCAGTGTATCGTGGGCAGGTTTTGTAACAACATCAGAAGGCCCTGCAAGAGGGGAAGGTGCTTAGTTTGGGGAGGCTGAAGGCAGAGCACCAGAGCAGGCTCAGGGCTGGCACGACCAGAGGCAGCAGCACTCAGTAACTTTTGCTCACCACACTTGCAGGCCTGAAAGGCTCAGAGACAGCATTAAGATGTGCTCATGTCTAGATCCGGATCAGTGAAGCACCTCAGATGCCCCCAAACCCCTTGAGATAAAGGGTGCTACCAGAGTGTTACAGCTGGACACCAGAAGGCAAACGTGAAGGGACTTACCGTGATCAGAGCTTGAGCACACGGAAGAGCTGGTGTTTGACATCTGAACCCTCCAACAGCTCAGTTCTCTGACCTGAATGCTGGGGCTCAGAAGTTACTTTTAGGCAAAGATCCTGGATTATCTTGGAGTCAGTTTTGAGACGACAGTTGACTGGGCTCCCATCCAGAGCAATTCCCTTCCCTCTACCCCCAGGGAATTACGCCTGGCCCCAGGGACTTACTTGGAAGTCTTCCTCATCTAGGATCTCCTTTCGCCACTTGATCAAGAAGGCGGCGCAGACGTACAGGTGGAAATGCGAGAATCCTTCTGGCTCCGACTGCGGACAGTAAAACTCCAGGTCAGCTCCTGCAGCTGGGATTTCGCTGGACACAGATGTCCTACTGGGCCACCCATCACCCAATTGGCTATAAATGTCCCAGGGCCGCACTGCTTTCCTTCCCTCATCTCCACAGCTGCACGGTGCTGCCAGAAGACCACTGTCCCCCGTGTTTGGGGAACTGGTCCCACACTGACCACCTTCGCCCAGGGGGAAGGCAGTGGGAGCCTGCGTACCTGGTAGGTATCCCAGAGGCGGATGGTACAGCGAAGAGGCAGCTCCCTCATAAGCAGATTGTTCATCCAGCGAAAGGCAAACTGCAGATATTCGACCTCGTACTTCCTAAAGTGATTATGTACCTGCTCTGAAACAGCACATTTCACTTACATACCTGGGGACCACGGTGCCCCAGCTCCCGCACACAGCACTGCCCTCAACACACCGGCTTTCACGCACTTTCAGGCTGAGACCTCGTCTCCCAGATGCCTCCACTCCTCACCTGGTACTACCTGGTCAGCAAAACCCCATTCCCAGAAGGTTTCTGGCCAGCCCTACCCTGCCCTGCTTCCGTATGTGTTGTAGCAAAGCATCTACCCCTGCATGGAGGGTGCTACTTGCAAAGGACCCTCTCGCTATTCTGAGCTGTCAGATCCTCTTGTCACCTACCATCGATCCGGCTGACGAGCTCCTCCAGGGCTTTGACTTTCTTCTGGATCCCCGGCTGTGCAAACGTGTAGTTATCCTGCAGAGAGAGGTCACGAGTCAGAAGCAGCAGCTCTAAGAACAGCTAAAAATTCAGCCAAAACCAGATGCCCAGCTCCACAGGGAGCCAAGATCACCACGAGCCAAGGAGACATGGCTCCTGAGCACCAGAATCACGTGCCTGCTGTGAAGTCCCTAGTCAGGACAGGGCCGGTTGGACAGCTGCAGCATCTTATTTCCCCAGGATTTTACCCACAGATTTATTTCAGTGAAGAACCAAAATCTCCCTAGTGCTGCGACATGCAGAGCACTCACCCAGAGAGAAGACGACTGCGCTGCTACTCCAGCAAGGGGAAGAGAAACATCCGCGGCCCCAGAAGCAGCTCACCTGTATCCCATCCAGCAGCTTGCTCATGCACCAGAAGCTGTCAGCTTCGATGCTCCGTAAAACATCCTGCGACAGGTTCGTCACATCGAAGTTCTCCACGTCCTCCTCTGCAAAACAGAGGGGGAAGAGCATCAGGAGGACGGGGGACACCAGGCAGCTCAGGGGACACACCGAGGCGCTTTACTGAGCCAAGGCAGGGCAAGAGGCACTACAAGGCTCCCTGCATGATTCAAGTGGCCTGCCCAGCACAGAGCACAGCACCCACGCACTGATCTACTGATCTACTTCTCCAGCCCAAGTGAACAGCTGAATGATCCCAAAAGACTCAACAGCCACGATCTGAACCCAGCCCAGCTCCCCAGGGGACCACAGGAAGGATCCCACAGCGCTGCCGCTGTCATTGTCCCTCTGGGGCGAGGGATGTGCATGGACAAAATTCCTGGCATATGGGACCCCTCTTGCTGGAGTGCATCCTGCCCTGGGTGACAGCAGGTCTCTGCCAGCTGGCAGCACCACGGGGAGAACTGGGAGAGGCGAATCCCTCACTGCAGCCAGAAACCAGGGAAAGAAACACTGCCCTTGGCCTGGTGCAGCACAAGGGAGCTCAGTTCTAACGCCCAGTTGGATTCATCAGCATCATCCCAGGACTGAAGCACAACAGAGGTGCCCAAAAAGTGGCTCCCAACTCTGAGGACCCACGAGGAAGAACCACCAAAGCCTCAGAAACCTCTACAGCAGAGCAGGACTCTTGAACACAGTTGCAAGGACCCAAAAGCGTGCAAACATCTTCCTGGAGAGCAAAAGGCTCCGAGCTGAATCCAGCATGGAGCCTGACGGAACTTCTCCTCCTCCTTGAGCCCGGCTGATGGGAGAGCTCCAGCAAACAGAAGCAGCCCCACACACAGAAAAGCCTTGCTGCCAGGGAAGCAGAGATTTGTGCAAGCTTGTTTTTCAAACCCGCTGAACTGGGGCTCTGGGTTAGCACAAGGGTTAGCAGCAGCTCTGTCCCCAACGGGTACTCACAGAGTGTAAAAGGCTGCTCTTGCTTTTAAATGGGTTTATGAACCCCCAGGAAGGGCAAGGGAGAGATCAGATGTCTTGAGGGTGGGATGGCAGTGATGCTGGCTGAGTTTGCAGCAGAGATCACCTGCTCCAGGCCAGGCTCACCTTAACCTGGAGGCTGAGGAGGGCAACAGGCATAGGAAGGCAGTGGAAGCTAGGGAAGAGAGAGTCCTGAGACGCAGGTCTGGCCCTCCTGGCTTGGCCGACCCAGCAGTTCCCTCCCTTCCTCCGCGGGAGGAGAGCGCCCGTCACGTTACTGATGGAGGCCTGGGAAGGAGCTGTCATGCCGGTAAATCGGATCAACAGATGCCAGGGCTAAACTGGCCCATTTCCAAACCCCGAGGATCAGAAATCCAAACAAGCATCTTTGATCTTGCTTGTAAAGGAGGAAGAGGGAGAGGACAGGGCTCAGGGCTGGAGCCGGGCCACCCTCTTGGCTCAGACACATCGCAGGGCAGCTGTCGCTGGCTGGCAGAACTGTGAGAACCGACTTTCACAGATTTTGCCTGCGGGAGGACTGGAAGTGTGGAGCCAGAAACGCCAACGCTGCTCCCACCTCTGCCTCTCCTCTGGGGCAGAGCTGTTTGGGAGCAAACTGCCATCAGGAGCTTTAGGGGCAAGCAAAGGCTTAACCCCGCGTTAATCTGGCAATTTTGTACTGCAGAAAGAGCAGCAAAGCTGTTTTCCAGCTGCAGGTCATCATCCAAAACTATGACTCTTCCGCTGACTTCTCCACAGCTACTCTCAAACGTACCAGGTAATGAGAAAGGCAGGCAAACCCTGTTTAATACCCATCCCCTTCCCTAGATAACTTACTCCACAGAGGAAGCAGGATGGGCAGGTGAAGAAGCGGGACAGGGCCACACGTGTAGAGCCAGGACTGGCGGCAGAAGCAGGCTCAGCCCCACAGGAATGAGTCTTGTGCAGAAGACCTCCCCGTGCAGCTCCAGGCATGAGGACCGAGATGGAGAAGGGGATGTGGTGACCTGCTGCTTGCACCGGTATGGGGACAAGAGGAGCAACTCTGCCAGCACCCCGGTGTCAAAGCAACACAGTGGTAGGAGATCCTCAGCATGAGCCAACACACATTGCAAGAAGCTTTGAAAAACAACCAAAACACCCAGGTCTCGAGCGTGTAGCTCAGCACAAACATCTGCTCAGCAGCATCATTAAAGAGACTCCATGGAAAGGAGTGAGATAGTCAACATATGGCTCTGACAGAGACCGAAAAGGAGCCAGCGGCATGGTGACAGCCGCCTACAGCTGGGCTAGAGGCAGCCAGGACACCTCTGGCAGTGTCACAGGGTGCCCACGGGCAGCTGGGGCTGGGGGAAAGCAAAGTTCCTGTCAGTGACATTTTGACAGGGCTCAGGGCGGACACAGGAGAAGGGACATCACAGCCCCACTTGACCCCTGCCTCAAATACCAGGCAGGGCATAGCTTGGAGATCAGAGGAGCCAGGGCTCCAGGCTCCCACATCTCTGCTTTCCATAGGGGAGCTTTAATGACTCCCCATATTCTGGCAGCTGGGGCTCAGTGCAGGACTAAACACCTGGAGAACAGTTAAACCCAGTCTCAGTAATGGGCAAGTTGGCACCATGTAGAGGGAGCGACGGGTCCAGGGCAAAACCAGAGTTCAGAACAAGGCTGATGTTACAGCTGGAGCTGGGTCAGTCGCAGTGTGACCAGTAACATAACACCCAGGTACAAGGCTCCCCTTCACCCAAGCTCCACTTCTGCTCCTGCTCACAGGGAAACAGAGTCTTAATTTAACCATGATTAGGATTTAGTAACAAAGCCAGTTAGGAGCGAGTAAGAGCAATCATTTCCATGGCACTGCTCCCCTCTAGAGATCTGGTGAAATGCCAAACAGGTCCCAAAGCTGGGACAATCCCTTATGTAAGGCCTTGAATGGGGGATGGAAGTGCTGTCGTACACCAAGATGGGCAGGGAGCACTGGGAGAGGGTGAAGGGCCCAGCACAGACACTACCTGGGGACGCTGAACTCCCTTCTGAGCTCTATCGCTGCCATTTTAAATGCAAACACAAGCCCTGAGAGCTGGGAGTGACTCAGTGCAGCAGGAGGGGCTGCAGGACCTGAGCTGGGAGGTAGTTTTAGCAGGACTGACAGCTCAGCATCCCTACACTTGCTGGGCCCTCTCTGATCACCTGGAAAAAGGGGTACGTGTTTTCCTCCAGCATGTGCCAAGGCGTCATCCCTTGTCCCGATTCCCCAGATGCCAGATTGCCTCTCTCCATCCTCACCGCTCAAGCTCTGCCTCCCCAGCGGCACTGACAGCCTGTGCCCATCCTAACCAGAGGACAGCAACAGTAGGCTCAGCTGCTCCTGCAGCCTCAACACCTCCCTCGAGCTCTTCCTCATGGCAGCACCTGCTGAAAACAAGCAGTGCTCAGCAATCTGTGGCAGAAGCCATTGATCAGCCAGGAGGAGGAATCGCTCCAGCTATGGATCTGTCAGTGGCAGGGGCCCAAAGCGCCCATGCTTGCTGCCAAGGAGATGAGGCAGCTGCGTTCGTGCAGGAGGCAGGTAGAGCATCACAGGAGAAGATAAGCCAGTGATGCTGGAAGAAATGGAAAAACACGGCAGTGAAATCCATCCCATCTGCCAAGGGCTCACAGCAGTCTGCCCAGCAGCTGGAAGGGCATGAGTTTTGCATCCAGACTGGGTGCAAGTATGGGAAAATCAACTGGTCCCAACTTGCACTGGAGAAAGGGGCAGGGGAGTTCAGACACCGGGACTGGAAGCTCTGGGGAAGAGCTGCTTCTCCCTGCTTCAGCCTAGTTGGTGTTTTCTGGAGTTGGTCAAAGGGGCACACACACTGGATTCAAGGCATTGCTCAGAAAGAAAAGGGAAGCAACATCAACGGGACCCTTTCAGTCAGGTTAGGGAGATGCAGCTTAGTAACAGGGTCATCCAGTTCTCAAAGCATCCCAGGGCAGCCAGAAGAAATAGCTTCCTGCAAATGTTTTTCACTCACTGGTCTGTTTACCTCCTTCAGGACTTGCAGAAGTATACACCCTTCCTCCCCCCACCTTCCACGGTGACGATGGAAAGGCATTAAGTCAAAGACACAGCGGTATGGCCAGCCAAACTGCTCTAACTACTACCCCGAACAAGCTGTGTTTAATCCCTCTGCACACAAGGGCCTGGGAGCTTGCTGGGTTACTGCTGACTCTTGGTTCGTTACTGGTGTCAACTTCAATGGAAGGAAGCTGCCAAATCGATTCCTGAATGTGCTTGATAAACTACAGACCATCCCCTACCCAAACCACCCACCTTTTCTCCATGGACACGTTTTAGCCCTTGGTGGGAAGCCAGACAAGCCCTCTGAAGGATGTTTTAGGCCTTGGTCTAGTAACCGATATATAACGGAGACACTATCAACCAGACATGTCAATCAGCTCACGAACACCAAGGAGAGAATTTAATTGATCTGTAGAAGAGTTGATTTGTTGTCTGCAAATGCAATGCCTGCCCAAAGCATGGGATGAGGACTTAGAAGTCTACAACGAACTTGGAGATGGGGACCAGCCCGTTATCAGAGATGAGACTGCTTTATGAGAAGATACTAGACTGAATAGCAGAACACCAGGGTGTGAGCCTAGCCTTGCGTTGAACAGCTAACCAAAGTCAACACCCTGCGAACTCCCACCTCTGCCTGTCAGCTCTGAATCACACACACACCCCCCACGGTCCCCAGAGAGCTGTGATGGTCCTGCTGAGTCAGCGGCCGCAGGAGACAGCCCTTCAAAAGCTCTAACACAAACATCGCAGGGAAGACGATGGGCAGCTAAGCAGAGGAGCCAGCTGACAGCACTGTGGGTCCCTTCTAGCACCTTGCGGTCAGCAAAAGCCCCACTCTGAAAGAAGAGGAGGGGCAGCAAACCCAAGAGGTTTGAGGATGGAGACAGTGCTGGTGCTGACTTCCCAGAGCCAGCTTTCAAGGAAAAGCCAGGGAAACTTTTCCAGGCCAGTTGTACACAAACCTTTGAAGGTGGAAATACCCTCAGATGACACACAGGTGTATGAGCCCTCAGTGGCTCTGTGGGCAGGGGCTGCCTGAGCCATACAGAGTGTCCCCTTTCCCAAGGGGAATACAGCTTGAAGAATACAAGCAGAATTTCCTTTGAATCACACAACTGTTTAGCTTGGAAAGGACCTTTAAGATCATCAAGTCCAACCATACACCTAGCACGGCCAAGTCCACCACTAAACCCTGTCCCTAAGCACCACATCTACACGTCTTTTAAATCCCTCCAGGGACGGTGACTCTACCACTGTCCTGGGCAGCCTGTTCCAATGCTTGACAGTCTTTTTGGTGAAGAAATTTTTCCTAATATCGAATCTAAACCTCCTCTGGCACAACTTGAGGCCGTTCCCTCTTGTCCTATTGCTTGGTGCTGGGGAGAAGAGACCGCCCCCCACCTGGCTACCCCCTCCTTTCAGGTCGTTGTAGAGAGCGATCAGGTCTCCCCTCAGCCTCCCCTTCTCCAGACCAAACACCCCCAGCTCCCTCAGCTGCTCCCCATCAGACTTGTGCTCCAGACCCTTCCCCACCTTCGTTGCCCTTCTCTGGACTCGCTCCAGCACCTCAAGGTCTGTCTTGTGGTGAGGGGCCCAAAACTGAACGCAGTACTCGAGGTGCGGCCTCACCAGTGCTGAGTAGAGCGGGAACACGAGACTTCCCACAGAAAGGTGAGCTGTCCCTTGGCACGTATTGCACCAGGATTGTTGCACAAGGATTACCAAATTGTGCAAGGCCTCTTTTGGTTCTCCTCCTGCAAGGACTCGGTGTAGTGCTGACTTGACTGATCCAGGGATCCTGAGAATTAGTGATCCAACATGAAGAGCCTCCAGACCTGCCCTGCCCAGCACCAGCTCTTCAGGGGCCTGGCAGCAAAAGCAGCTGTAGAGAAGAGCCAATGCTCCAAACTAGCGACTTAAAGCCTGTTGCAAAAGGGGTTACGTGACACCGAACACCACCAGTTCCTTCCCACGTACATTCAAGGCAATTACTGATCTCATCCTTAAACTCTGACTGCTACACAGCCAGACCATGTAGCAGGTAGCCACCGAGACAGCTTGTGACCTAAAGGCTGGCTCCAAATCCCAGGCTCTGGGGACAGAAGGGGATGCATGATGTTGTTTGACCAAATTCAACTCAACGGGTCTCATGCAGAGAGTTTTTATCTCCAGCACAAGTTTCAGAAATAGCTGTAAAACAGGAAGACCTTCAGAGAGGAAGCTTCAGTCTAAGGTGAAAATAGCCCTGGAAGGTAGTGAGAAGCACGACACCAGCAGGAGATGGACAGGGCCGATGCTGCATGAACTCTGCAGCCACGTGTAGAGAGAGTCGAGCCCTGACACCCAACACGATATAGGACTGCAAGAAGTCACACCAGGTACCTGCAGGCAGCTCTGATGCTTCAGACCAGCTCCCTTCTTGCATAAATAATTCACTGGGTAAGCAGCTCCACTTCTAACCCCATAAATCAATCCTGAGCAACCAGCCTCCACCAAGACTAAGTGCCCCCAATGCCACTCAGGCAATGAGGCACAGGAAAAGCCACTCAAAAGGAACACACTCAGACCCAACCTGACAGGCTCTTGACCTCCCAGGAAAGGGAATTCACTCCAGCTGGTAGCAGAGCCACATTTTTTGCCTTCTCCTTCAGCTGTGAGAAGCAACAGCATTTCCTAGGGATCGATCCTGACCACGCTGGCTACCACAGTGGAAACCGAGGTGGCTAATGTCTTCGCAACGTCCTCAGGAGAGGCAGATCAGTACTAGTTTACAAAGCCTTAGCTAGATAGTGGAAGGCTTCCACTGACTTCAACAAGCTTTGGATCAGTCCTTAAAAATATTTGTTCAACAGGATTTCTCTGTCACTAACACAGTCTTATAAATTCCTTTTGTCTTCTATTTACAGTGGAAACTAAGAGCCTTTAGGCATGTGGATTATGACACCCCAGGGTTAACGTCAACCCCAAAACACAGCTAGAGCTGGAGAAAGAATAAAAATGCTATGGGTGGAAATGACTTGACCTCCACCTAAAAGCAACTGGCTGACAAGAAAGCCAAAAGCAGCAGGGAGAAGCCAATTTGCTTTCCAAAACTCTCAGCTTGAGAACCACACCTGTACTAGCAGCATGGGACAGGAATCTTTATTTAAATAGTTTATTTTACATTCTCAGCAGGGTCTCTTTATACTTCACTCATTCCTCCTAGAGCAAGAACTAGTTCCATGCCCAAGCTTTGAGAGCAAGACTCTCCCCTCCCCCAACTCCATATATCAGGGCTTTGCCTAAACTTCCTCAGTGCCTAAAAGACCCCATTCTCCTCCAAGCTGCAAGCACGTTAAGTACATTCAAATGCAAATCCACCCTTAGCACTTCAACTTCCGTGGAGCTCAGCAAGGTTATGAAACTGAAGTCAATTCAACCAGGCACCAAAGATAAAGTAAGAGGTCAAGATGCATCTCCAGGCTGGCACAGGCGCTGCTGAAGGACGAACACATCATCCCCCCTCCAGCAAGGCAAGCTTTTCTGATGCCAGCACTTCACACCATTTCAAACACCGTGGTCGAGAGGCAGCACCGTGCTTCAAGCAGGAAATGTTCACTTACCAACATACTCAGAGAGGAACACAACAAAGAACGGAGTGACCAGGTCATTGATGCCCTGTACATAGCCGCTGGCTGGGTGTCGAATGGCCCAGATAAACAGGATTCTTTCAAAGATCTAGGGAAGAATGAGGGAAAGCAAGTACCTGCATTAGCCGTGCACAAAGGAAAGGCAGAAAAGCTTAATTGCTAAGCTCAGGAAGCAGAGATCATGCACCGATAGGCTTTTCTGCAGCGATAAGGGTAACAAAAGCAGCATACAAGTCCTAGGACAGACTCCTGTATGATCCATAGATCCCACAAACAGGCCAGCCCACACTTCCCAGAAGGCGGCAGCCCAGGCTCCTCCTCAAAGCCTCCGCTTGAAATGTGGACCCAACTTTTCAAGATCCAGGTGGCTTAAGACCCTTCCACCCATAGGACAGGGCTGCCTATCAGCAGAACAGCACGCCTTGCTGAACATCATGTGGAAAGCTAAGGCTGTTATCTCTTATCAGCACAGTACTCCCAGCAAAACATCACAGATGTTCTCAACAGAGCAGCCTCCCCGCAACGACCAATGTGTTATTTCCAGACTGCTCCAGCCCCAGGACACCATGCTCTGACATACCACATACACGCGCTGAGCTCCTTCCCAAAGAGGACAGATGCTCACACCTCCTGGCCACCTCTCAAACCCATCCCTGCCCAGGTTTCTCACACAGAAGAGGTTATGTAGCAAAACAGAACTGATCTCCTGTTCTGGTTCAAATGCCTTGAATTTGTCTCAAAACAAAAGCTTCAGGTCTTTTACCAACTCTTGGCTACATCTCACCACAAAAGAGCTGATCCGATAACACCCCTGAGCTCCAAGTCTGATGTTTTTCAGAAACACGGGACATGACCAGACAGTTTCAGCAGGTGTTTGCATCAGGAGCTGTCAGCCAGGGAAGTTTCCCCGCAAAGCTAATTCACTAGCAGCAGTGCTGGTCTAACTCCACACACACAGGCCCCACGGCAAATGTGGGACAGGAGCTTCGCTCCCCCTTACCTCCTGGACAAGCGGCTGCTGGAAGAGGGGGATGAGTGGGTTGGTCCTTGGAATGTCGATGTGGATCTGGAAAAGAGGGTGGGTTATACACACTAGCTGTGCTTTCCAGGGGCACAATAACTCATCACAGGCTAACAGAGGGGAATCCACTCCTCAATGTCCCCCCAAGCGAGATCTGCACTTCCTGACAAGTGCAGTGAGGGCTACAGACGACAGCTGCACTGAGAAAATCATCTACAGTTTTATCTCCAGTCTCCTCTGTTCAGGTGTGGGCAGCTGGCCAGAGCTAGGAAAGAGTTGGGATCTGAAGTCTAGTTATTAAATCAATTTAGGGAAGGCTTAAACTAATACCTGTAAGAAGACGGACAGGAACATGGTGCCCCATCCCCAGGGAGAAGACTCGTAATAGTTACAGCTAGAGGAAGTCCTAGCATGACCCCAGCTGCAAGAGGGAGGAAAGGAATACACCAAGGCAGAAAGCCAGGCAACAGAGAGAGGGCTCGTACCTGTCGGTAGGTGTCTTGGTGGTGCTCCTCATTCCGGGAATCATAATACTGCTGGATGAAGCCAAAGTACTCCTCCCGCTTACGCTGCAAAGTCAGCTTTCGTCGCTCCATGTTTGCGGGAAGATAACCCTGCGGCAGGCAAACCCGTGTCAGGACGGACCCTCTTCCCTCACCACAAACCATCCCCTGAACTCCTGCCAGTCAGCTGTGCACTCAGAAGCATCAGGCACAGAGACTCAGGAGCTGGGAAAAGAGCTTTCACGGGATTTGGCTTTCCCAGCCCCTGCTGCCTTTACTGATCTTGGAGCAGCCCAACTTCATGGGATTCAGTTTCCCAAAACAGAGTGAACCACATTATTCCCAGCACCAGTGTGGGCTTTGTGCTCAAAGAGGACATAGCAATTACACTCTCCGAGCCAAAAAAAAACCCCAACCCTCTACAGCTCACCTGTAGGTTGGGCACAGATACAACATGAGCAAACCTGGTTACGGGACACACGAAGGTCTAGGAGCGGACATCCCTGGCTCGGCACATTCCCCCCAAACTCCTGTGTCACAGCTCCAAGTACTCACTGAGAGGAGACGCCACGTCACGGGCCGGACCTCTCTGGGCACACCAGGCCAGCTGCATTTCCTCAGCTCATCTGCAAACGGACAGTGGTGGCAATGGATTAGATCCTAGGCACGTCCAGGCACCACTATACCTAGAAGGAGAGGAAAGCCCAGTCTGCTCCTGCAGGCTCTGCAGACACTGAGCCTCCAGGAAGGCTCCACATTGGCAATGACTGGAGGTGTGGGTCTGCGGCAAGGGGAGTAGAGAGGATTTCAGCTCAGCCTGGGCACAGAACTGGTGGCTCCAGGGGCTCCAATCCTCCAGACCCTCAGTTCTCATGCAGAGCCCAACAGCCCCCAGTGATTGCAACCAGCATTTGCGAGATGGGAAAGACTGGGAACAGACTGGGAGCTGGTGGAGGACATTACTGTCTGCCAACAGAGCAGTTCATGCCACTGTCTCACTTGGTGCAACTGCAGGTAGTCATTTTTTCCACCCTGGAGGGGACCCGATTACAACCTGAAGCAGGCAGCAGGCCCCCCCCTCTGCCTTTCCCTTCCCGCCCACAGGCATCCCCATTTTGCCACACTCACCCAGGTCCGTGTTGTGGCGGGAAAGGAGCTGCCGAAACTTCTCCAGGCGGGTTTTCTCCCTCACCGTCATGGGGGGAGCACCCGAAGCATTTTGGTCAGAGATTCGGGCGACAAGGGGAATGACGGGCCGAAGGGGAAGGGACTGCTGCTTCTGAAGGGGGGTCCGCACACAGGCGTCCTCTGCAAGGAGCAGATGGTGCAGTGAGGCGGGGAAGGAGATCGCACCTCTCCAACCCTACCTTGCTCCTCTGGCCATTGTCAGAGACCTGTCACTGCAGATTTCACCCCTCTCTTCCCCAGCCCCAGCAAACAGAGCATCACTGGCCCACCCCGATGGATCAACTGCTTCACAGGCATCTGCTGTGGCTCTTCCATCATTTCCCCCCCAGTTTCTCCTTCCCTCCCTCCTGCATCCAGACACCTGGCTGCCAGCGGATCAGACTTCCCTCTTCACATGGAAAACCATGAGCAGAAAGACACAGCAGATGAGGCAGAAGGAGCTATGGGAATCCCAGAAGAACTGACCTTCAGATCTGCTCTGCTTGCCCCTGATCTAAATAGTGATTAAGCTAATTGCTAGCGCAAAGAGAGGAGGCAATGGGCTGTCAATGCCACCTGCTGGGTTACTTTCACAGCACAGGCAGCCGTCTGCAACAAGGCAAAGTGAGCAGGGGCTGGTGCTGGCTGCCCAGTTCCCTGCCCAAGCAGTACCGGCGTGGGCTCTGCAGGGCCTCATCCACAGATTTACTGAGAGCAGCACACTGGGGGCCACAAAGGAAGCAGAAGGTGAGCAATCCTGAACAAGAATTTAACATATCTCCAAAATCTCCTAGGACCCAAAACAGGGGATCCTTTGGGACAGATGTGCCTGTATGCAGGATACTGAGCAGCAGAGCACCCTGAAGCATTAAGGCCAGGCCTCCAAAAATGGCTCCTTGGAGTACAAGGAGGCAAAAGCCTTTCTTGAGCTTACGGGCCATGCCACAGCCTCTCGCCCATAACATGCAAGTAGCGGCAAGCGGCTGAGTTCAGTGGTTAACCAGGAGAGCAGCGGAGCAGGAGGCTGCTCCTGAAGACGGCTCTTACCAGATGTCCTGGAGAGCTGGGCCTCGCTGCTGGACTTGATGACCTTGCAGTTGGTGGGCATGTCACTGAGAGCAGACTGGGCCCGCTCGGGTTTTGCCCGCAGCTTGCTGTGGTTCTCCAGAACCTGGGCTGCCGTGGCCTTGGCCACTTTAGAGTTCAGAGTTTGCAAAGAAGAAGAGGAAGAAGAGAAGTCCTCATCTTCGTCATCACCGATGTCCCAGGCATCACTGGTGTTGCGGGCAAACTCATGAAAGCTGGAGGCCTTCTTGCTTTTCATAGGCAGCGCGTTGGCCTTGGAGCGGTCCTTGATGAAGCTGGGAGCCAGAGAGAAACAGTATCAGAGCAATGCTGTCAGGCGAGTCCATTTTCTTTCCTTTCCTACATCCTCACTCCAATCAGCCAGTCCCTTTTTCCAGTTTCCCTGTTCCTCCTCCCAGACCCAAGGAATGCGTTAAGTCTCTCCAGGCTGCCCGCTGCCAGGAGGCAGAGCCCAAGCTGGTATCATGGCAGGGTACAGAGGCCACAGCGGCAGCAGACAGCTGGAGGGGTGCCAGGCTTCCCGGCTCAGAAGCGCAAAGGGGAGAGACGTACGATTCCTCCAGCTCTGCCTCCCCACACCCTAGAGAAAATTGGTAGATTAACACCCAAAAAAAGTCTTGCAACCTGGGGAGAGGCATGTCAGAGGTTAGACACTGCGCTCACGGACGCTCCCGATACAGCTGCGATGGCTCCCAGCAGCCAGACCAGCCTGGTTCTTTTCTCAGGCACAGGAGGAGCCTTTGCATTTACCCTTAAGCTGCAGGAGTCAAAGTCCACTACCTGAGGCGTCACAGAAAAGGGGAAACCTTCACCACTACACAGCATGAGATAGAGACAAGTAGACAGTTCAGATCAGCTCTGCCTTCTCCTGCCAGGAAGGGTGCTGCGGTTCTCCAGCCTCGCCGCTGCTGGGCACCTTTACCTCCCCTTCCCTTAATTCTTCCGTCTCCGAAGGGGAGCGGAAGGCTCAGACAGCATTGCTAAAAAATACGCCTGTCTCCTTTGATGTGGCTGGTACGATATGGATTTTTGGCCATAAAGGGTGCCAGCAGATAAGCTTTCCCTGCAAGGTTTTGTAGAGCACGAGACAGCACCGCACCCCACTGCTGTCCTTCTCTGCTGGAATATCGCAGCGCCAGGGGATGCTGGAGACCTCCATCTACTGCAGGACTGAGCCGAAAACCTGCAAAGCCTTGGGGCCTGCATCTGCAGGAGACAAACACTTACTTTTTGGTGAGCCGGGGATCCAGTGGAGGATGCTGTGCTCCATAGACAGGCTGAATACTGCAAGAAGGGGAAAGAAAGAAAAAAAAAGACAATACAAAAAGCCACGGAGCACCCAGGAATAATGTCCTCAGCCTATACTCGGGTCACACTTCTTGCCTGCTGTTGGGAGCTGAATACAGACCAAAACCAACTTCAATAACCTTCTGTCTTCAAAGCCTGAGATCCAAAGTGCCACATTCAACTGAAGATTTGTTCTTTGCAGCAAAGAGAAGCCTTGTTTAAACAATTAGGCTCTCTCCAGTCTGAGCTGGGATTTGAGATCTGCTCTTTTCTGCACCACTCATTGACTCTGAGTGACCACATATCTCAGTCCCCCTGCCTTATACACCGATGTTCATTCTCTTTTCCATCAAGGGGATTTCCAGCTTTGGGAATTCGCCCTTCCAAGCCCTGCAGGACAGGGAAGGACTGTAGCCAGCGACACTGGGGCTCCTCTACAACGCACTTGAGGGTTTGAACCCCATGCTGGCTCTCGGGCTTACAGCCAGTGCTACACCGAAGTAGCATCTGGTACAATACGCGGTTTGACTCGGGTCCAAATCCCAGCTTAATCAACTAACTCCTACGTGGCCTGAAATGAGTCGCCAGGTCTCAGTCCCTCAGCTTCCCTCCCCGTGGAGTGGGACAGAGAGCCCGAGGGCTGCAGGCACTACACGGGGAGCACTAACTTGAAGAGGAGCTACTAGATGAGCGCTCGTTTCTAGTTTTACAGGCTCTGGGTGAGAGACAGGGATCCTGAGTTACTGTCTCCATTTGGGGAATTATTCATAGCTACCTCACCTTGAAAAATCATCTCTGGAAAACAAGTCCCCCCCCGTCCCCTAGTACACAGCATGGTTCCACATCCCACAGTGGAGACAAGAGCCCATTCAGAGCTGGCACACAAGGAACAGGCTCCTCTTGGGTCAACAGAGCTGGACTGGTTTCCAGGAGTTGCAGATGGCGCCCGGCAGTAAAATGAGCAGAGCCCAGCTGTGTAGGAGGGGGACGGCAGCCTGGTGCAGCTGGAAAGCACACTGGGAACCAGTTGATGCTGGGGAGGCAGCAGCAACAGGCCCAGCTGTCAGGGGAGAGATGCAGAGATGCAGGGCAGAGGCTGGAAACAACCACAGCACTGAGAGATCCTGGTAGCGAAGCTTGGCGAGGGGTGGGCTCGCTGCTGTAGCAGCCGTCCCTCATGGCTGGAAGCGCTGAAAAGGCTCACTGTGTTTACCAACCAGCGATCAAGCCCAGGAAAGAGTTTGCTGACTAATTAGCATCTAGAGTCAGGACAGCTATTAAGCAGAGGCACCCCTGTGGGTGGGCATAGCAAGCAGATTGTCAGGAGTAAGAAAAACAACCCCTCCAGATCAGCGCTGCTTCCCAATGACTCATGGCAGCTCCTGGCAGAAGAGAAGCCGGCAGAGCCTCTCTGATACCCAGCACCAAGCTCGCACCGTCTCGTGCCAGCAGTCACAACACTGCTCCTCTCTGCCGACGGGTGATCGCTTTGATTCACCTGCGAAGGCCTGAACTTCACAAGTCAAATGAACGATGTGTGTCAGGGATGGAGGAGGGGATGTGGCAGCCAGTTCTGGGTGAGGAAACCCTTTCCTGGGGCTCTGAAGCAATCGGCCCATCCCTTCACTGGCTAACGGCTGACACAACGGCAGAGGGTCCCACCTCCCAAGCAGCTTTTCTTAAAGGATTTGAACCCAGGCTCCCCCAAACAAAGCATCCTGAGCTGATCGAATTGCACAGCCCATCAGCTCATGCTCCCACACAAGCTGTTGAAGACGACAGTCTCGTTTCCAGCAGCCTACAGAGGCAGGGCTGAACACCACTATCCTGCATCAGTCAGCTTAAACCACTACATGAAGCAGGTTCTCCCCACATCTGTCCCATTTTTTTTTGCCAATTCTCTGCCCTATCCACCCATGCAGAGGGTGTAACAGGCTGGACAGGAGGAGTGCAAATGCTCCGAGGTGTGCAACAGGTGACTTCTAAGATACATGAGCAACTGCACAACTGCCAGATAGCAAATTTGTGCTGTAGTGCCTGTGGTACCCTCGATGCCCGATCATGCTCCTTCAGCTCACGTCCCTGTAGCTGACTCCCAGCAGATCCTACAGCTCCAAAGGTGCATCACCGCCTTCTACTGAGAAAATTGAGGCAGGGGAGCAATACCACCAAGTGATGCTCGGTAACTTTATTTACTCGCTCTTGCCTGGTTTTCCCTGACGCAGCTTGGCTAGATGAATCTGCTGTTTCCAAGCTTAACTCCCTGTCTGAAGCTGTCCTTGCCCAACTTTTGCATGGATGGAAAGCTCAGGGCAGGCACTACTGCTCAGCAAACACACCACCAGGTCAGAAGCCAAGACTTAAGCTGACACTGTGCTCCCAAACTGACTGGATGAGTCCCCTGTCCTGTCTCAGTTTAAGTTCTTTGGGACAGGCATTCCTTGTTACCCGTATGTTGAGTGTCTGGTACAATGGGCGACTGACAGTGTCTGGTACAACGGCTGCTGCGGTATCTGCGTTACACTGCTCACGAGGAGATCATCGCAGGGTGCGGGTTATTGACACTGCAGCAGAAAGCATATCCATGAAACCTCAGTGCTGCTTCGGACATAGAACATACTTACTCCTAGTAGACTCTGTTTCTCCCTTTTTAAAACAGCATTTAAATACCCCGCACCGGAGCCTGGTTGCTCATCTCTCTAAAGAGCAGGAAATAAACAACCCATCACACAGGATAACACGCCAAACCAAACTGCCAACGCATGCCCAGAAAATTACTGGGATGCGAATTCCCAGCGCAAAAACCACAGGGCAGTACTGGAAACATGAACCAACATTTATTCCTTCTGCCACCCTAAACCTACAGGGAAAAGGCACCAACTGAAAGCTAATACAACTAAGTGACCAAATGCACAAAGTGTCATGGAAAAGGACGCTAATGCAGCCTCCAAATCTTTACAAAGCCGCCCTCTGCCAGCTTGTCAGGGCAAAGAAAGGAGAGAGCCAAGAATCCGTATGGGAAGATCTCTCAAAGCTCAGACAAAAAAGAAGAACGGCAGTTTCACGTCTAGCGACCATGGACGCAGCACGTCCACCTCCACCTTTTGTGGCTGAGTTGTCCAAGACCTGTCGGTAACCGTTCCTGGAAAGGACCGGCACGCAGGGTATTTAGAGGTGGTAACAAGGCTCCAGGACAACAGGATATTTGCCAAGCAGCCAGTTAGGAGCAGGGGAGAAAACAACGCCAAAAACTTGACATTGGAGCGTATTGTTTAGGCAGGACCGGCTGCCTCCCAGACCGGTTCACCTGGTTTGAGCTTTCCAAGCCAAGGCTCGAAGTCACCCAGTACAGAAGAGAGATGCTGTCTAAGACCACCAGCTGGAAGCATGGTTGTGACCTCTGAGTAAGGGACAGGAGCAATCGGGAGACAAAATGACCCAGGGAGAGCATAGCATTTTCTTCCTCCATGAGCAGGAGAGGAGGCACACGTAGTGCTGGTTGCTTTCCCTTTGCTTGCCACAGACCTGGATTGTCGTACCAACCTGAGGGAGCCGGCACAGCAACAAAGAACCAAGTGAAAGCACATTAGAAAGAGAGATTTAACTGTCCTAGCAGGATTTAAAGCCAACTAAGCATTTCAGACTGCGGCTGCACACCAGGAGGGGAAGGGCAGGGTGCAGATAAGGCAAACGAGAGGAGCACCTGATGCGAACAGCACTTGTGAAAGCCTCCCAGAGAGGTGAGTGCCCTCTTCCCATGGAAGCGTTGCTCCCAAGGTCTTATAGGGAGCATGTCCTTCATCATCACCAGCCTCTTCTTCCTAAACACCACTTGAATGAGACATTTCACTTGCTTCTCCCATCCCCGGGTGAGTGCAGGTGCCTCAACAGGAACCAGGACATCACAGCCAGAGGAACCGAAGCAGCAGAGGTGCACAGAGAGAGCTCCCACAGTCCCTCGTATTCAGTAGAGGTGGACCAGGAGTGACACCCCACATAGGAGAGAACAATGGGGGGACACGTGCATTGGCAGGGGCACCTGTTTGGGACAGGGTTGCTGCCACCCAAGGCAATGCCTCTAAGGGCTTCGGGAAGGGATGAGGCTTCTTCAGTTTCTGTGGAAAGGAGGACAGTACAGCCCTGGCTTCGAGGCCACCCCAGGAGGGCCTTCAAGGCCCTGACCCCCTCCACCCTGCCTCCTGTGGGGCAGAGGGTGCACACAGGGGTCCCCGCAGCCCCCACACGATGAGGGGGCAATCCTGGCACGACCCTTGTCCCTTATACAGGGGGACTTCCTCCAGTAAAACTCCCCTGCCTCGTAGCCTGGGGTGCCCCTGGCATCCTCCTTATTGCAGGGGGAACCCCGGGACCCCCAGCCAGCTCCCCTGCCCCACAGCCGGGGTAGATACCCCTGGTATCCCCCCATTCTTGCAAGGGGGTACCCCGGGG